GACCTTCAGCCGGGCCCCACCAGGAGCCGGGGCCCCAGGTGGCTGCTGCGAGCCCTGGGGGATGGTTTTGGTCCCCAGGGCAGGGGTGTCTGTCCCCGCAGGCTCCTTTCCGGGTTGCTGGAGTCCAAGGCTGTGTCACTGCGCTGTGCCCACCTAACTCAGGGGACCACAGTGCGGAAGGCAGGTATCTGCTCTGTGTGGTGTGACCGTGGGTCAGGTGACGGTGCCTTCTTCAGGTACTGCTTGAGGAGCCGCCCGCTGCCTAGGTTGCCCGGGGAACGTGCCGGGTGCAAGGTCTAGACATTGTTCTGCCAGGCCCGGTGCTGAGAGCAGGCCTGGGGTGGGCGCACAGGGCTCAAGACCCAGGAGGGGGCAGGAGCAGGCGCAGGGCCCGGGCCTGGGGGAAGCCGGCCTGGGGCGTGGCGCTCCCTGCCGACCTCTCTGCCGCTGCGTCTGTGAGTCTGTCCCAGGCAGGAGTGCTTGGTTCTTCTTCGGGCCACTCCGCCTGGTTCCCACGGGCTCAGCAGAGGGGCTGCGGCTGGGGCTGAGCGTTGGGCGTGCGGGCAGCTGTGCTTTCACAGCTTCTGAGTCCCCACCTCCGACACACAGCCCCTGCTCTGGGCCCAGCCTTTTGTCCTCGGCGCCCACTCTGCCCCCTCACCCCTCAATGCTTCCATCTGGCGTCCCCAACGGCACCCTCCTCCCGACCTCCAACTGTCTTCCCAAATCGCTGGCTGTGCTGTCACCTTGCTCCCGCCCTGGCATCTGCCACCTTTGTGTGCCCCTGAGTCCCCTCGGGCCCTGACCAGCCTGGAGGGGTCAGCCTGCCTCCCTCGGAGCACCTGGCGGAGGCGCCGAGGCTGGGGGGAGGCCGCCCGGACCAGACCCCACACGAAGCCTGTCGGCAGCCCCCCAGCCTGCCCTGCCTGTCCTGCTCTGGGGACGCTGGTGTGCTCGTGTGCACGTGCGTGTGCGTGCGTGCGAGCTCCCGCACGTCAGAGGGGCGGTGTGTATTTTTGTGCAGCAGGGTCTGATGTGCCCAGGTGCTCGGCTATCAGCGGGTCATGTCCCCAGATGGGGACCAAGCCCGGCTCAGCCTCCAGAGGGCTCCCATTCAGACCTCTCTGGCCCCTGCTGCCGGGTGGCCTCCAGGCATGGCCTGTTGCAAGGCCAGTTTGGGGACCGCTGCCGCCCCGGGGCTGGGTCTCAGTGGGTGGCCGTGTCGGCGCCATGACGATGATGTCCAGACCTGTGCTGGCTGTCGGGCCGCTCCGTGGTCCCTGTCGCCCAGGAGAGCAGGCGTGGCGGGCCTTTCTCCTCCTCAGTCTGCTGACGGCCCCGAGCCTGCCCAGGCCTGCCCAGGCTTGCTCAGGACTTGCTTCTCTGGGGATGAGGTGGTGACAAGTAAACAGTGTGGCTAATTAGAGCAGAGTACTGCCAGCGCCCGACGTGAAGTCCGCCCCACCCCGCTGCCGGCCACCCTGCCCTGCCATCAGGCCCAGGCCTCCGCTCCTCACAGGGCCACCAACACGTGCCAGCCCCCGGGCGAGGGCAGAGGCCGAGGCCCTGGTGAGGGACCACTTGCCGGGGCTGTGCGGCGCCTTGTGCTCGGCAGTGGATGGGGTTGGCGGTCTAGGCTGCGGTGGCCCGGTGGGGACAGAGGTGCCGGCTTTCCTGGTCTGCGTCCGGCCCCAGCGTGGCACTTCGTGTGCCGCGTCTCTGACCCTCCAAAGGGCCGCCCCCACCACACACAGTGGGCGCTGAAGTCCTGTGGCCCTGCCCAGTGAACACGGAGACGCCCGAGGGCTGAATAACCCGCCCAGGGCGCCAGCGGGCACCTGGTGTGTCTGGGAATCAGGCCTCCCCACCACTCTCTCCGCCCCGCGCTGGGAGGCAGACAAAGGCCTGCTCCATGGGCTCTTCAAGCCGAGGAGCCCGCCCCTGGTGACGGTCGAAGAGCAGGCTGGCTCAGCACAGCCCTGGGGCTCACAGGGGCCACCATCTCCCCATGCCGGGCTTCCGACCCTGCTGGGACCCTGGTGTGGAGACAGTGGCTGAGCCTGCGGACCGGAGCCCGACTTCCCAAGGAGCTCGGGCACGCCAGGCCGCCCCTGCCCCCAGCAGCCCCTGGCCCCGAGGTGGGGAAGCTGCGAGGGCGCAGGCCCTCTGGCACCGTTTTGGGTCAGGGGGGCGGGGGGGGGCGGGGCGTCACTTCCTCAGCGAGTGTCAATGTCAGAAACATCCAAAACTGTAAGAATTTTTGTGAATTTATTTCACCCAAACTGATGACAATTGCCGGGAAGCAAAACCTCAACGGATGGAGGGAACGCGCTGGAAGGTGGCAGTCTCACACTTTGTGTTACACCTGACAACCAAAGAGAGATCCCCAGGGGCTTACATGCGTGACATTGACTGGTGCTGAGCTAGGGCGGCGGGAGGAAGCAAGGCAGGTGGGGGGGGGGGCCTCTGGGGTTGGATGGACAGCGTCTTTCACACAGGTGGGCGGAGTCGACTGTCAACCATGAGCACATGACCCCAACATGAGGGGCCCTGGGCGCTGCTCCAGTGCCAGGCAGGGTCCAGGGAGAAGGGAGTCACGCCGCCGCTCCCAGCGCGAGTTGTCTGAGATGCAGAGAGACGCAGACAGGCTCAGCTGGGTGAAGATGACGTTTGTCGGGGAAGATGCTAGCCCTGGACACGGCTGTCCGCAGTGACCCGTTCTTCATGTCAGACTGTCCCACGTGGTTCCTTAGATCTCCGAGGGTGTAAGACCACCACGCAGGCCTCCCCTGAGCTGGTCAGGTTGGGCTGTGGCCCCTCTTTGTCCATGAGAGAGTGGCATCGGGGCAGGAGGCCGGTGGGGTCTGAATGGGGCTCGGGCTCGGCTGAGAGGCTGCCCAGGCCCAGTGAGCAGCGCTGTGACCTGCAGGGGGCGCTCCTCTACCCCAGGTGGCCTCAGCTGTGTGGCCCACCCTGGGCCTTGTCATGTGGGACTCAGGGTGAGGCACAGCCCAGCTCAGAAACAGCATCATCCCAGCAGGCACCAGAGCCCGGACAGGGCAGGGTGACGGAGGCTGGAACAGCCGGGGACTGGACATCAGCAGAGGTCTCGGCAGGGAGAGGGAGGTTCCGAGGCCTCAGGGAGGTGTGTGCCCTCCGGATCTGGGGCTGCGTCTGGAAGCCTCACGGTGAGGCTGGTGGGGGGCGGCAGGGACGAGACCCACCTCAGTCCCCACTGAATGTCCCTGCCAGTGGGGAGAAAGAGCACCAGGCCCCTGCGTCTGGAGGGACCTCTCCACCACAAGGGGAGTGACTCCCCTCTGCCCTTTCGGGAGCAGGGCCAGAAGCACACGGATGTGGGGGCTGGAGGGTCAGGTGGGGGAGGTGGCCCTTCAGTACAGGGGTCAGGCCTCTGCTCGGTGGGATGGCACCGGGTGGGCTTGTGTTCTTGGCACGGCTACTGAAGGATTCTGCCCAGGGGCGGGGAGGCTCTGGGAACCCAGGCAGGGTGAGCAATCTTGACCTGTCCCCTCAATTGTCCAGTCTCTGAGGGTGGGGGACACCATGGTCCCTCCCTTACTGTGTTCCTCGATCCCAGAAACCCAGCGGGTCACAGGGACCCTGTGACAGCGGCTCTGCTGAAGGGTGGCTTTCTCTGCCTGGAGGGAGGGTGCCAGCCCCCCCCACCAGCCTGCCCCACAGACAGGATGGGGGTCCCTGCCTCACAGGCTAAATCCAGCCTCCTGCCCTAGGCCCCTTGACTACACCTGGCAGCCAAGGCAGACCTCCTGTGTCTGCAGCCAGGGCCCCCTGTTGCTGGCAGCACCTCAGCTCCCTCCGGCTGGGCCAGGAGCACCCCCTGCCCGGGCGGCTCCATCCGGGACGTCGCTCTTGGGGGCTGGAGTGGAGCAGGGCCTGCCCCCGTGTTTCTGCGAGACGTTTGTGTCACAGGGCACCGACCTGGGGTGGCGGTGGGGAGCCTGGCCCCCTCTCCCTCCTGTGGCTCTCGGGCTGCAGACTCCTCTTCCTCTGGGACTGCTCCGTGCAGGAAGGGGTGCCTTTAGGACAATTAATTCCTAATGAGAGCTCCTGACCCTCTCGGCCACTCTGTGACTTCTCCCTGCCTAGCCACCAGCTCAGTGCCCTCCCCCAGGGCCCACAATCACGGGGGGGGGGGGGGCTGGGGAGAAGTCTCCAGTCACCCATGGCTGCACTGTAGCTGGGTCGAAGCTGGGACTTGAACCAGCTGTCCTCCTGGGGGCCCTGCTGAGCTCAGGGCCGCTGACTGCAGAGCCTGGGGCCTCCCCACCACACCACGCTGCCAGGGTCCCCAGAAAGGTGACAGGAAGGCTGCTGGGGGTAGCCCGAGCAGGCCTGGGCTCCTGGTGCTAGGGCAGCTCTAGCTACTTTTCCTATGAGCAAAAGGGTGCCCCGCGCCACGCCCTTCCCCACCCCCTGCCCCCAGCAGCCCTGAGCAGCTGGATGGCGGGGGGGGGGGTGGGGGTGGCAGTCAGGGCCTGAGCGCTCGGCCCCCTTCGGACGGCGGTGCCTCAGGTGGGCTCCTCTCTCCCGGGCCCGCACTGAGCCTCCAGCCCGGCAGCTCCCTGACCACACACAGCAGCCCCGGGCCCCAGCACCCCGGGAGGACTGGGGGGTAGGGGGTGCTGCCTGGCACCCCAGCAGGGGTTGAATGCCTCAGGGCCAGTTGCTGAGTGACACGGGGTTATTGTGCTGTCACCGGCCACCTGGAATTCTCTCCCACCCCTCAGAGAGGCAGCTTGGTAGGAAGCCCCCCAGGCAGTTGCCAGCCCAGGGCTTGGTAGCCCACCGCGCCCGCCCCATTCCATGACCATCCTGACGTTTTCCACCGTGGGCGGGACACTGGGACCAGCCGGCACCCCAGCAGGGCAGCGGCCAGGCCACCAGGAGCAGGAATGGACGCTGGCAGCTGGCCCTGAGACTGTCCCGTGAAAGCGGCCGTGTCAATCTGCCTGGGGGCGATGACCCAGCCCCCCCGCAGAGACAGCCGGGGGCACTGCCGCCTCGCCCCTGGGGCCCCTGGGACACCCACGGACACAAAGGCTGGCCCCAAGCCCAGGTAGTGTCTGCGCCCACTTAGGTGCGTGTCCACGCCCCCAGCACGTCCCCCCATGGAGGGTAGTCGCGTCACCACGAGGAGCAAGGACCTGGGGCCAGACTGCCCCTGCCCTGGGCCTCTGCCCCGAGCCTCAGTTTCCCCGACTGTAGGTCGGGCTGCTCCTGGTGCCCGGTGAAAGGGTCGCGGGCTTTTTCCTGAGACAGGAGCCATGGGACTGCCGTGCACAGGGGCATTTTCCTGACCCCACACCCTCCTCAGTCCGAGGGCGCCCAGGGAGGAGCCGGGGAGCAGCAGGGCCCTTGGACAGAGGCGCGCCGTGCAGCGCTCCGCTGTGTCTGCGTTTCTCCCCAGGGCAGACGGTCCGCGGTCCTCTGCAGCCAGGAGGGGTTTCACGGCGGCCCTGAGGGGGCCCGGGCCCTGTGAGCAGCCAGGTGCCCCGAGGGGTGCTCCCTTCGTGGCCTGGTCTGACCACCTCGAGAGGCCAGGCACCCTGGGGAAGGCCAGCAGCTCCCCATGGTGGACAGCAGGCGAGGAGGCCAAGGATGGGGACAGCTCGGTGTCATCAGGCCGTCTGTCCGGCTCCTCTGGGGGCCATGAGCCGTGTGTACTTCCCCACCGGCCCTGGACTGAGAGGCCCCCCCAGGTGCTGGGGTCCCCGAGGCCTCACAGGGAGAGCAGCCCCCGGCTGGAGCAGCTGAGGGACAGGATCCGGGCCCAGGCGCGGTGGCAGGGCAGCTGCGCCTCCCTGGGGACCTCGATGCCCTCCAGCGCCTCGCACCTCCACAAAGCCTCCATGCCAGCCCCCGGGCAGAAGGTCCAGAAGCTGAAGAAGCCCCCTGCGGCCCCGGCCTACCCAGGTCAGTGGCAGATTTTCCTGGGGGGGGGGAGCTGCGCTGGGAGCCAGAGGGGGGGGACCCACCTGGGTGCAACGCGTCCCCTGGGCCTGGAGTCTGCAGCCTTGCAGCGGGGGCACCGGGATGGGGTTAGCCGTTCAGTATCATGGTCAGGTACGTGGGGACGTGGGCCAGGGACACCTGGACCAGCTTGCAGGGGATTCCGAAGGTCCTCGAAGACACAGCATGTGTCCCCCCCACCACGGCCTGGGGTTCAGAGGCAAGGGACAGGGTGGGCATTCAGAGAAACCTCCAAACCCAGCCTCCGTATTGGACGGATGACGGAGATGTGGCCCTGGGCCCTTCCCACTGGGCAGAGGCATCACTTTTCTGGGAGGCAGGGAGGATTTTTCTGTTAAAATCACTTTTAAGGTAATGTTTTTGTTTAAAACAACTGTAAAATACATATAACACAGGCTGTCCCCACCCCGGCTCAGGGCACGGCTCTGAGGCCTTAGGGACAGTCACCCTGCTGTGCAACTGCCACCACCGTCCTCTCCAGGACAGTCCATCTTCTCACACGGACACTGGGTCCTTGTGAGACCCCCACCCCTGCCCCAGCCGAGGCTCACACGGCCTACAGTGGATCTGACTCCCCTGCGTCCTTACAGGAGTAGAATCCATGAGATTTGTCCTTTCTTGTGGGTTCGGGTCTTGAGGTCCCTCCTGCCTGGAGGTGAGGGATCTGAGGACCAAGGCCGGACCTGGCTGTGCCAGAGGCCCGGGGGTCCTTCCGGCCAGTCTCTTCCCCTGCGGAGACGTGGTGGGCTCTGCCTGCTCTCACACTCACTGGCTTGTCAGCTGTCCCCTCCGGTCTGCCACTGTGGGCCTTGGGCAGCCTCTGCCCTCTCTGGGTCTCCACGTCCCCCTGGCTGTCCAGCCAGGGGTGGACCCAGCCATGCAAAGTCCCCTCAGACTCTGGCTGTCACTCCTCATCTACCAGGGGGCCAGCTGCCCTGCCCTGGTTCACCCATGGGTCAAGTCAGTCACTTATTCACTCAGCAAACGTGAGCTCCGTGACCCAGCCCCCAGCAGGTGCAGATGAGACGGGAGGCTGTTCCTGTCCTCAGGGGCTCTCGGCCACCAGATACGTAGAGTTTGTGGAGAGTCCGGGAAGGTGTGGTGAGGCCAGCCCTGCCAGGGGGTGGCCCTGGGCAGCCTGCCCTGTCAAGCCCCGCACTCCGCCATCCAAGCTGGCATGCAGGCCCAGGGAGCAGGCGGGCCACTGTGGGACCCAGTCGGGGGCTCCTGCTTGTGCGTCACCGCTCACCTTCCCCCCTCCCCCCTCTCTTCTCTCCCTGAAGTTCCACAGGAAAACCCCCAAAACATGAAAAGTAGTTCTTGTAAAAGAGAGAAGTCCTCCGCATTGTCCGCCCGAAAGGCCGCCAAAGACAAGGGTGAGTCTGGTGCCTCTGGGGACAGCAGGGCTCGGGAACGTGAGCTCACAGTCTGGCCCACTCGGGGTAGGGGCACCTGGTTTCCCGTGCATGGTTGGCTGCCAGCAGCTGTTCGACCGCCGGGTGCATGGGGTGCTGGGGGCATCTGGGGTCATCAGGGGTTGGGCTTGAGTTGGGGGGCGACTGTGGACTGTGGAGCCGGGCCGTGTGTAGGGCCGCCCACACAGGGAGCCGCCCCTTGTGACGAAGGACAAGTCCACAAACCCTCGTATTCGGTCCAAAAGGCCCTCGGCCACGCTTTAACGCTCCTCGTGGCGCACTGACGGCGTCTGACCGGCGCGCAGGACCTGTCACGCGTGTGCTGGCAGGCGTGCCTGCTTTCTTGTCTCACGGCATAGCGTAAGGCGCTCTCCAGGTCCTGCTGCCTCCGGCGTCGGGCAGAGCAGCCACAGGGGTGGGCTCTCCGACCCACCTGGCTTGGAATTTGGAATTCCAGGTAGCAAACCCACCTGAGCAAGGGTGGCGGGCTGGGCTTTGGGCTTCGGGTGGGTGGGTGCATTTATCCAGCAGGCGAGAGGTTGATGGGGGGCAGGAGGGGACCCCACTCCCACTGCAGGGTGAGGGATACTGGGAGATGCGGAGAAGATGCCGGGAGCCCTGCTCGAAAAAGCACAAAAGATAACATTTTCAGCATCACCATCTCCCCCTGCCCTCCGTGTCTTTTTGGTTTGTTTTATTTTAATGGCTCGCTTGAAAAATGACCTGCTCTCGGCCTGACGCGGGGTCAAAGGGCGTGCCACGGGCCGCATTCATCATCGTCACGGCCGTGTCACCCCGACGGCGCTGACCATTAGTCCCTGTCAGCGGCGCAGTCACAGCTGGACTAAGGAGGGATGAGTGTGGGTTCAGAGGTCGGAGGCGCAGGGCTAGGGAATTGGACGAATTAGAAATTTGCTGTAGTTAACAAAAAATTAAATCACAATAGTTATAAAATATTCATCCATCCGGCTGGAGGGAAATGAAGCCCGATATTTAATTTCAGACGGCGGCGCCGCACTCTGCATGTTTTATCATAGATTAGGCCGGCCCAGGACGCTGACGGGGCACCTGGGGGCTTCATCCATTTCCGCAGATTAAAAATCCTCTCGTAAAAAAATTAATTGCCATTAAACTGCTCAGCAGAAGGAAAAAATGTGCCCGTCAGGACCCATTTATTGACCCGGGCCCTCTGGCAGGTTAACGGGGAGGCTGAGTGCCCAGCGCAGGGGGGGCCTGTGGTTGGGGGTGCTGAGCTGGCCTGGCCACCCGGCGGGTGGGTGGCCCAGTGCCCCAGGGCAGGGAGCCGGGCCTTTCTCCTGCGGCCCAGCAGCAGCACAGAGCAGTGTCTCTGGAAGCCCCACCCCCTGGGCCCCCCAAAACCCGGATTTGGCCAGGGGGCCGGTCCCAGCCTTTGACTCTGCCCTGAGCCAGCAGGGTCCTGACCCTTCCAGGCTCAGCTCCTGTAGCGGCTGCCTTTTCATCCTGTGGCTCCGTGGGAAGATGTTCACCGGTGGGGAAACCGAGGCCCACAGAAGTTAAGTCATTTGCCCAAGGAAGGCCCGAAGCTAGTCCTGGGTGGAGCCGGAATTTAAACCCAGGCCTGGGATTCCTGAGACCAAGCCCTTAACTCCCCGCGTCCCCAGCGGCCCAGGGCAGACGGCCATGGCCAGGGGTGCGGTGGGGGAGTGGGGTGGCAGCCGTGTCCCAGAGTGGACCTGGCTGCCCCAGCCTACCCCGGCGAGGCAGGGCTTAGAGAGGAGTTAGCTCCTGGGGGACCTGTTCCTCGAGGGATGTGGGTTTACAAAGGGCATGACTTAGAGACGGCAGGGTCTTGGGGTCCTGTTCCAGAGAGAGCGTGACCTGTGTGTGGCCTTAGGGGTCCCTCCTGGAGGCATGGCCCCTACAGAGATGGCCCTTCCACTTCCTGAGGCCCCAGCTTCGGACCTGTGGCTGACGTCTCTGGGTCTGGGCCCTCAGGGGAGCCGGGCCTGGGGCCGTGTATGGAGTGAGGTCCCTGGCCCTGTCGGGTCACCTGCCCCTGGGTCAGTTCCTGGTGGTCTCTGCCATGAGTTCCCCTTGGTTGTCAGGAGTGCCCCCTTCATGGAGGAGGGGGCAGCTTTTGGCCTGGATAATGGTCTTTCCCCTTGGTCTGCCCTGGACTGGGCCTGGGGGAGGGGCAGAGCATGTCTGTGCTTGCATGTCTATGTACATGTGTGTCCGTGCATCTCCGTGTGTCCGCACCCGTGTCCTAGTGCATCTGCGCACCTCTGTGCATGTGCGTCTCCATGTGCACATGTGCATGTGTCCTAGCGTCTCTGGGAGGTGCCTATGTGTGTTCGTGTCCATCTCTGTGTGCTTGCATGTGTCCGTGTGTGCATGAGCAAGTGCCTGTGGAATGTGTCTGATGCGTGTGTCTATAAGTGTCCGGCGTGCATGCACGTGTCTCTGTGAGTGTGTGCGTGTGCCAGGTAGTGTCGGGATCTGCACCGGCCTCTGCGGGGCCTGCGCAGGCGGCTGCGCAGCGTTGGCGGGGCTGCTGTCGGCACTCGGTGCACCTGACTACAGTTAGGAAGTAGCGCTTCGTCCACACGCAGTGCTTATTGTGCGGCCGCACTTACTAAAAAAGTGTCTCTGCGTCCGGGATGCCCTCTCGGTCCCCTGGTCCTGCACAGCCCCCATTGTCACCGAGTCTCGCCCACCTCAAAACAGATTCATTGCCTTGTGCCCGAGCAGCCAATCGGCTGTGAGGTTACCCTCCCCCTCGCCCTGCGCGCCAGAGGCTTGTCGTCAGCGCCACCCTCGTTATGCTCACTCGGTGCCGGCCGAGTGTGCGCCGTGGGTCTGGGTCTGGGCCTGTGTCGAGGTTTTACAGACAGAGCCGTGGGGAACCGCGCTTATTACCCCGTTTCCTGAACAGGACTCGGAGGGTCCAGGAAGTCGGGTTATCCTGGGACGTGGCCAAACCCCGACCTGCTGGGGCCCGAGGGTGAGGCCCTGCCTCAGAGGGGCCCAGACACAAGGGACTCGCCCCCAGCCCCCCCACACCAGGGGCCGAGCTCAGGCCCCAGCACCCACTGTGCCCCTGTTCTCTCTGTTTAAGACTCCGAGCTGGTGGGCGCTCACGCCTGGAGGAAAGGACAAGCGCTGGCAAGGGGGCTGCTCGGGCCCCCGCCCCCCCTCCCCAGGCTCCAGAACAAGGCGGCCTCCAGGGAGACGGCCCACAACCTGGAAATAGGTACCTGTGCCTCTGCCTCGGGCTCCACCCTGCTCTGCTGGGGCATCTGGGGGTGGGGGCAGACTCCACACCGCTGGGGAAGGAGGTGGCGCTGGGTGTCGGAGCAGCTGCTCTCTCCCAGTGACCTGTCAGACACCCTCGGAACCTGCCACCGATGGGGGCCGTGGGGAACCAGTATATTTAAAAGTCTAAGGGCAGGATTTCTGTCCCCAAGAGGCCCCTTTGGGCCCTAGGAGGCAGGGCACGGCCAGGCAGGCTTTCCAAACTCAGGAAAGAAGGGGCTCTTCCAAAGGACCCCAGCACCCAACCTGCACTCAGTTTTCAACAGGCGCCTGGCATAGTCTCGAGTCACCTTGATGGAGCACCTGCCCCTGGGGGCTTCTAATGAGTGCGGAGGCCAAGAGGGGCTCCGTGGGGCACGAAGCCAGGGGGCCTCTGGGCGGGGGGGCCGGCTCTTCTCCCCCTGTGACTGCCTGTCTTTGCAGGGGACACCGACAAGGTAGGAGCTGCTGGGAGCCACCCTGTCCGCCCCCGGACGCCCAGTCCAGCTGCTCTGCGCAGTTACCCACAGGTGCCTCCCAGCACACCCTTCCGGGCACCCTGCGACCAAGCCGTGACCATCCAGTCGGCTCTGGCCATCCTTCAAGACCTGCGCCAGCAAATCCAGGCAGGGCTGGAGTTGGCCCGAGACCATCAGCTCAGGCGAGGGCGTGAGCAGTGGCCGTCACCACGGTGGCGGCGACAGGAGCCAGCAGAGAGGAGGCCCCAGGGCGCCTGCAGGGCCCCAGACCTGCGGGGCTCCTTCTCCAAGAGTCCCTGGGTCCCCACGAAGGGGATGCACTCCTCCTCAGAGAGGGCTGGGAGCGTCCCCGGGCAGCGCTGGAGAACCTTGGCCCGATGGGAGTCCCAGCCACGGAGGCCCTGGTTGGCCCAAGGACGGGACCCTGCTTTCCAGAGGCCTGGGAGTCCCCGAGAAAGGCTGAGCTACTTCCCTCAGCGGCCCTGGAGCGCGTCGGCTGGGCAGAGAGCCCGGGCCACTTGCGAAGGCTGGGAGGCCCCCGCCCGAGGACCGGGGAGCCCTCTGGAAAGGCCAAGCCCTCGTGTCCAGCGGCCCTGGAGTGCCTCCCTCACCAAGTGGACTGGCAGCCCGTGCGAGGGCAGGTGCTCCCTGCCGCCTCCCTCGGGAGCGAGGAACGCCTGGCTCGGGCCCGCCCGGAGCACCCTCCAGACGGCACCCAGGAAGGACAGTGAGGCGCAGGTGCCGCTACCCTGCCCGAAGACCCGGGGGCTCCTGGGCCGGCCCTATAGCCCAGAGTCCCTGCGGGAGTTCATGCGCCAGAAGGCGCTGGTACGGCGGCAGCAGGCCCTGGAGGAGAAGGTCTCGGCCGTGCGGGCGCTGGAGCTGAGGAACCAGAGGCTGCAGGATGTGTACAGAAAACAGAGGGAGGCCGTGCTGGGCAAGGCCGGCCCGATCAAGGCCGGCCCGGTCAAGGCCGGCCCCGTCAAGGCCGGCCCCGTGGTCTCCCAGACCAACCCCAGCATTGTGACCTTTGTGCCGCACTCCGCGCAGTCCTGGGTATGCACCAGGGACAGCTGGCCGGGGTGTTGGCCCGCTCAGGCACAGCCTCCACTCTCCGGAGTCCCCAAACGCCTGCCTGCCTCCCTGGGCGGGACGGGGCTCCAGAGGGACCCCGTTACCTCCGTACCAGCCCCTAAAGAGGAGACCCTGTGGAGGCCCGGGCCAGCTCCGAGGCCGAGAGACAGGGTCCGGGCTTCCGGGCCAGGTAGGGCTCTGACTGTGTCCCCCTCTGTTCCAGGACTTGGAGGCGCCCGGGGGCGTGGGGTCGCCCGTGCTGCAGTGGAGCAAGGTGACTTCCGGCATGGTGCTGGGGGACCAGGAGGCCCCGGGCAGGTGGGTGTGCGGGTGTGGGGCTGCCCTTCCTGGGCGGCTTCCTGGGCCCTGTGTCACACAGAGCTGGGGATTTCCTGGAGCTGAGAGTCACACCACGGAACAGTCGCCAAGACAAGGGACCGAGTCAGCAGCACCTTTAGTCTGCAGCCGGACCCCTGTCCCAAAACGTTTCACCTGGGCCCATGGGCAGCCCTTCCCCATTCCCCCCGACCACCCCCAGGCGCTTTCCGCCCCTCTGGCTTTGTCAGCTCTGGATAGTTTATAGGTGGGACCCCACAGCCTGGGACCCCCGGGTCCTGGCTATTCTTGCTGAGCACGTTTTTTGGTTCACCCGCGTTGCGCCAGGCCTCGGGACTCCATCCCTTCCGAGGGCTGAGCGGCTTTTCGCTGTGCGGAGGGACCTCGTTTGGCTCGTCCCTCCCTCTGCCTGCGGACGCTGGGGCCGCGCCCGCCTTTGGCTGCCGTGAGGAACTCCGCTGTGAGCACAGCTGAGCAGTAGCTCTCAAGACCCCGCTTTCCATTCGCTGTGAGGGTGCCTGGAAGTGTGACGGCCGGGTCCCCTGTCCCACGCTCACTTTTGGGGGAACCACCCCGCCGCTCTCCACCGTGGAGTCCCGGTTTCCTGGCACTTCCGACGTCTCTGTGTCCTCACACATACTTCCCTGAGTTCAGAGCGGCGGCCTGGCCTGTGGCTGTCAGCTGGGATCTCCACTGGCTGTCACTTGGGTTTCCCTGGTGACGGTGATGGGAGCAGCTTCCCACGTGCTCGTCCGCCAATTCCGTGTCTCTGGAGGGGGAAGGGGCCAAAGTCCTTTGCCTGGTTTTGGATCGAGTTGTTCGGTTTTCTCGTTGAGTTGTCCTTCTTTATACAGCTTGGGTTTCAGCCCCAAGGACAGAGATGCTCTAAGTTTTCTGCCCTCCCAGAGGGTGGCCATGGGCACACAGTCCGATGTCCCTGTGTCTTGGGTGGCCTGTGTTTTCGGTGTCACATCCGAGAAGCTACCGCCAGCGGTCCCAGCTCTGACAGCTGTGCATGGCCGTGTGGACGCACTGCGATGCGCACACACTGTGAACACGCCCTGGGTCTGTCACAGGAACACCGCCATGCTCAACCTGGACATGTGTGTTTCACACTCACCTAGAAGTTCTAAGCCTGACCTCTGCACCCTCTGTGCCCGCAGCTTCTGCCTGTGTCTGAACGGAGCCCTGGACGGCGCTGAGCCCCCGGAGCCAGCAGGCCCCCAGGAGAGCCGGGAGGGCGCGCCCCCGCTGCAGTCTGCCAGCCCCTCCCTGGGCCGCCCGGGGCTCCGGGACCTGGCCACCCAGCACCCCTGCCCAGGCCTGTGCATCTACCTGGACCCTGAGGAGTCCGAGCGCCTCGGCACGCCGGGGCCCCTGCACTTCCGGTACAAGCAGGCCCGGCTGCAGGCCCTGGAGACCATGGCCAACATCCTGAAGCAGCGGATTGACGTCCTGACCGCCAAGCTGCTCGGGGCCGAGGCAGCGGACGCTCCCAAGGGCCTGGCCTCAGACCTGCCACCCTCGTGCCCCAGCACTGTGCCTGCGGCCTCCACACCCGCCACACCAGCCTGCCCCAGAGCCTTGGTGCCCCACGGGGGCAGAGGGGCTCCCTGGGACCTGCCAGCCAGGCCACTGCTCTCTCCTGCCAGCTTCCTGGACGGCGAGGCGCTGCTGTGGGGCCCTGGCTGGCAGCAGCGGCGGGCCGTGAGCCCCAGGGCCCACCCGGCTGGCCAGCCCCGAGGTAGGGCCGGCACCAGGCCACGGTGACCACCAGCCCAGTTGGCGGCCACAGGAGCCCCACTTTTTCCATCTCTCAGTATCTTCCCCCCAAGGGGGGACACAATGACAGTATCACAGTTGTCACTGAGGAGGTGACATAGGTGACAGTCCTGGCCCCGGGCATGGCATGCACTCAATTTCCCATCAGTGGCAGCTGTTGTCACCAGCTGGGCTGTGTCTGGAGGAGGGGTGAGGCCTGGTCCTGAGGCTTAATGGGCCCGTGGTGCCCTGCCTCCCAGAGACCGTTGGAAAGGGGATGAGGCGCCGGGGACAGTGAGGCTGCGGGGACCCTGCTGCTTCAGGGTGGGCACCCCCCCCCCCACTGGCAGCCGCTGCCCTTGTGCCGACCACACCTGGCAAGTGTGCCTGTCTCTCCAAAGGTTTCGTGGAGGACAGATGTTCGGAGCTGGACAAGAGGCTGGCGAGAAACACAGCTTCCTTCCAGGCCCTCTGCCCCTTGGCAGGGAGGTAAGCCCGAGAGCCCCTTGCACGTCCCGCTGAGCCGTGAGCCAGGAGCCTGGCAGGGCGGGCAGCCAGGCCTGCAGGCAGGGGGGCAACAGCTCCTGGCCCACTTGGCAGCTGGGATGCTGGCCAGGCGGTGGCTCTGGCACCTCTGCCGCAGGGCTGTGTGCCGAGGGCCCCTGCCCGACACCCTGCTGATGCGGGAGCAGGTCCCAGGATGTGTACCTCTCCACATGCTCCCCGCCTCGGTTCCAGGCCCCGGGGGACACGGTCAGCTGCACTTTCCTGTGTCATTGGCGTGACTGGCAGGCTAAGTGTGTCCAGGGGACCGAGACGCAGGTGCACCTTCATTCAGGTCCCATGTCTGTGTCTAAGTTCTCAGGACCACCTGGTCGCAGACCCTGGCACTTTCTGGAGGCTTTTATCCCCAGTGCTGTCTGTGACCTTCTCTAGGGGCCACTTTACACAGGCCCCTTCCCAGGGGTCACTGGGCCCAGTTGCAGACAGATGACCAGCCTGGAGGTGGAGCACAGGGAGCCCTCAGCTGCCCCACTGTCCACCTCATCAGCCCAGCCTGGGCCTGGCTTTAGGGACCTTCTGCTGTCCCGCACTTGCCCCAGACCCCGACAGCTTGGGCCATCCTCCTGCAGTGGCCCTTTGCTGTCCTTTCCTGTCCCCAGTCCTCTGGCTCCTTCCCCGCCGTAGCCAGTGTCCCCCTGAGGGCCCCGTGTCTCAGCTGACTTCCCCTCAGGAGGGCGTCCTTCCTGCCGGCCCAGCACTGCACAGCTTTTGTCCGGGGGGCCTTTGCAGGACAGTTGCCACCTGGCTGATGCAGGACCTTCCCCAGCAGCCGTGGCCTCTGGCCCTCTGGGGTCCCTGCACACTCGTGGTCTGCTCCTCAAGGGCTTCCCTTGCAGCCCCGAGAACTATTTCTCCAGCCCACTGCCCACCCAGCATCTCCTGGTGGGTCCCCCCTCACCTTCCTCAGTGGCCGGGGGCACCCTCCCAGTCCCCTATCCCACCAGTCCTGCTCCCTGGCACATTGCATGGCCCTGCAGGTTCTCGGACCAGCTCCTGCCTCTCTCACCTCTCTGCTGTGAGACTGAAGTGTCCAGTGGTCCCCAGCCTGGCCTGGATCGGCCCCTTCCCCTTACGTGGCCAGGTGTCCTCTGGGACCCCAGGCTTGACAGGTCAGAGCCCAGCCCAGAGGGCACAGGCTGGCGGGCATCTCCAGGGGGGCTGGCCTTGCCTGTTGTCAGTATCATCCAGACCCTGCCCGGACCACCTGGGACAGATGCCGCGGACTCCTCACTACCCACTCGGTGGGCCTGTCCCAGCTTCGCACCCGGTGTCGGGGGCCTCGGACGGTATAGAGTTTATTAACAGTTACAAGGGAGGGTGGGGGCCGCGGCTGGGGCAGCGTGAAGCGAGGAATACAGACAGGACTGTCACGTGTCTGTGGAGAAGGGGTGGTCCCAGACATCCCCTCTGCTTGGGCTGCCCCAGTGGACCCGGGGCGGGTGAGGTGTCAGTGCAGATCCCAGGTCTGTGAGCAAAGTCACACGCCCCCTGCCAGCCCCAGAGTCTTCCCTAGGAAACGGGAGGGGCGCCCGTGCACCTCCTCCGCCCAGCACGCCCAGGCATCCCCAGCCCCCTTGACCTCACCAGTGGGAAGTCTGGCGTTTGGTCCTTTGGGGTGAGATCTGCTCCCTTCCCCACCTATCACCTACCTATGAACAATTGGATTCAGTGGGGGGGATCGAATTGTTGCCACCAGTAGGGGGCAGCATAGGGCTGCATGTCTCCACATTGGCAGCTGGAACACGACCTCCCTCCAGTCCTTGGGTGTTGGGGGGAGGACTGGAGAGGTTAGTGGACACCTTACATCTGCTCATCCTGCGGCTGCACAGCCAGCAAGCCCCTGTGGGCCCAGTTGCGGAAGGTTGCAGAGCCCAGGTGAGAGGCTTGTGGCCTCCAGTGTCCCCCCAACCCCAGGCATTCCCATCTGTAGCCCTCCCTTTGGCCCCCTCCCAAAACCCTGACCGGGTCCCCCAGGCAGAGGCGAAAGTCGTTCACGAGGTGGCCCAATGACCCAGCGCCCTGGAGCGTGGGGGTTGGAGCCCAGGGGCTTGCTGGCCCCTTGAGCATGCAGGAGAGGTGCCCAGGCTGTCCCTTGTCAGTCAGCAGTCACCACTCACAGCTTCACAGTGCTGCCACTTTGTGGCCACACCCCTGGTCACCTCTCCCGTGGCCCAAATCCAGGGCTCTGCTCTGAGCCCAATTTCTGAGTCAGAGAAGGGTGATGACCTCTCTTACCCTGCCCTTTCCTCGTGGGGACCGTGGCTCAGTGGAGGGCAGAGCCAGCTTGTCACCAGAGTCACATGCCAAGGATGCCAGGGTGGGCCCCTGGGTGCTCGTGCACCTGGCATCTCTGGAAGGAGGGGTGCCCAGGCTCCACAGGCCCTGTGCCTCCGAGAGACGTATTCTCACCCTGCTGCACAGACCGGAAACTGAGGCTCGGAGAGGAAGGCTTTGCCTGGGCCGCACGGCTCGTGGGAGGGCAAACCAGGATTCCGAGCAGGGCCTGGACTCAAAAGCCCACCCACCCTCTGGTCCACCGGCTCTCCCTGGTCCCCAGGGGCTATCCTGAGCCCGAGACTCGGGGGGGGCGGGGGCAGTGATGGGCGCCCGTGCGAGTCCTCCGGGTAATCTGGGTGACCCTGAGGTCCAGCAGGGTCAGCCAGCCACAGCGCCCCTGGCCCAGCATCTGTCTCTGCGAACGAGGTTTTCTTGGCCCAGGGCCATGCTCACTTTTACAGAGTGAGGGGGCCGCACTCGAGCTACAAGAGCAGGCTTCAGTCCTTTCCACAGAGCTGGGCGCTGTGTGGCCCCACTCTAGACAGGCGGGGGTGACACTGGCTCATGGGTTGGTGGCCATCGGTGGCATCCCTTTAACCACGTCTTGGCGGAGATGGCTCCTTCCTGCCAGCTGCTGCTTTGCTCAGTGAGGCTGGCATCTGTGTCCAGGGTCGGGAGGAGGGAGCGAGAGGGAGCCCGGAGAGGACCCTGCAGGGTCCTGTCCTCCGCCCCCTTCGTGTGAGGCCCTGCCCCCCAAGAGCGGGGGCCGGTCCCTCCCCAGCACCCCCAGGTCATCCGTCCATTGCCTCCCCAGCATCTGCCTTCTCAGCCCCAGGACCGCCCACTCGTTCCAGAACACTCTTTTCCAGGTCATCCCCCCTGTGAGTCCATGAGCTGTAGGGGAGGAAGCTTGGCCCGGCCGCTGCCTTCCTGAATGGCAGCTGGCACACGGCAGGTGCCCGACACACACCTGCGGCCTCTGGGCCCCAGAGACTGCTGGAGGGGAGCCAAGTCCCGGCCCCGTCTCCATGGCCACCGGTCACTCAAACGGGCCTTGGGTCACCGTGTGCCAGGAAGGCCAGGCCGTGCCCCCTGGGACACAGGCCCGGTGCCCAGGGCAGGTTGGCCTTGTGGCAAAGGGCACCTGGATCCTGGCCCCAGTGCCCACGGTGACTGTGGAAGCAGCCCCCCGGTTGCCTGTGCTCCCACGGGGCTGCCGCCTCCCCGAGTCTGCATGTAGAACCCCGAGTCACTGCTGCTCAGACGAGGCCCCACCAAGCTGGGGAACCCGCGGGTGTCAACCTCTGCAGGCCCCTCCCGCTCGCTGCCCTCTCGACCCCTGGGCGCAGGCCCCTCCCTCACGGGCCTTGGCCCTCAGGTCCCGGCTTGGACACTGTCAGAGCCAGAGAGCCCTGTGGGCCGAGGGGCCCAGACCCCCACCACCCCACTCTCCCGGCTCATGTGTGTGTTTGTGTCCCCAGCTCACCTGGGGTGCCAGAGCCACCAGACCCCACCTGCGGCTCCCTGTGGCTGGAGGAGACGCCATGGGCCAGAGGGGCAGGCTCCATCACGCCCTGGACCCTGCAGAGCTGCGGTAAGGGCGAGCCTTCAGACAGGCCCTGGGCTGGCTGGTCGGGTCGCCGGGGGCATCCGACGGGGACTCCCTCCACCGCCTGGCACTCCGGCGAGGTGCTGTGGGTGTAGAGAGACCCTGTTCTCCGCGGAGAGCACCCACGTTTCAGTATTAAAGTGTTTTGGAGGCTTTCAGGGCCTAACTGCCTCTCTGTGCTCTTGCCACGCCTCCGTTGTGACACATTTGCTGCAAGGGACATGCAGCCTGTGTGCGGCCCAGCCGCCCGCCCTCCCTGCCCACGTGTGGTAGGGGCGGGAGGTGGGATGGTGTCAGGCCCGGGGCGGGCAGTGCTGCCTGGTGAGGGGTGTGAGAGCAGAGCCGGGGGCAGAGAAGGGCACCCTCCCCACCACCAAAGGGAAACCCGTCAGTTACCCTCTGAAATGACCAGGCGCCTGAGCTGCCGCCGCACACCAGGCCTGGGTGACCCTCCCACAAACACCTGCCCTCCAGGAGTACTCAGTGGGAGGCCTGGGCGGCAGGGCAAGGACCGGCAAGAGCCGGCACAGGCAGCCCCTCCCTGCAGGGCCGTCCCCGTCCACAGGTGCCAGTGAAGGGCCAGGTCAGACCTGCTGAGGAAGGAGGGACCTGGCTGGAGGCTGCTCCACCCCCAGCCCACCATGGGGCCTCGGGGTGCCCAGGGGGCCCACCCACGCCTGCTGTGCCTTCCAGAGAAAGGAGCCAGGGCAGAGGGGCCCCACCCCCCTGAGAAGTCCCCTCCTGAAGCCTCTGGAGTCTGGTCTGGGCGCAGCTGTGAGCTGCTGGCCAGGGCTCGGCCGCTGCATCAGGCTGACCCTGAGCAGGCCAGGCGCCAGGCCTTCGAGAAGAGCCAGCTCCTGACCTTGGCTCTGCCTCCAGCTGCCTCTCCCGGCGGCAGGGGTGGGTTGGGCAATGGGCTCGCCCCGAGTTCTCTGTCCCTCCTGTCGGGGGGCTAGGCCCCTGGCTGCCCTCCTGCTCTCACGGGCAGGGCTGTCCTCACACCTGTCTCCATGTGCGAACGGGAGTTCTCGGACAGGACCTGTCCTTGGGCCACGGGCAGCCCCGAAGAGCTGCGTGTGATCCGAGTCGCCCCTGCCTGGAGTGGCTGACAGCAGGGCCTCAGGCAGCCAGAAACCAAACGGAGAACCGAACCCAGAGGGCCTGCGCTGGGGTCATGTCGGACACCTCCTCCAGGAAGCCTCCCGGATAGCACTGGGCTGAGCTGGGCGCTGCCACCGGCCGGGTTGCTGCCTGCTCTGTGGACGTCGGTCTCCTGGGTGTGCGTCGGTCTCCGTGGGCCACGGGAACTTGAGGGCCTGGCTGTCATCGCAGCCCCGGGTCCCTGGACAGTGCCTGCCATGGTGGGGGGCCAGCAGAGGTACTTGCTGAAGGATGAACGAACTCCTGAACACCGAGCGTCCCCAGACACCAGACACCGCATGTGGCCTGGTGGTCCTGTCGGCCTCTCCTGCCTCAGGGGTCGGTCCGGTCCCCAGGCTCGATGCCCAGAGGCGCCGTCTCCCACCGCAGAGTGGGATTCAGCTCAGCTCTGAGTCGATCCCTCCAGCTTCCACGAGTGGGTGCAGTGCTGTCCCACAGAACCTTCTGGAATGAGAGAAATGCTCCAAACTGTGGGCTCTCCTACCCGGCAGTCCCCGGGCACAGGTGGCTCTCTAGCCATGGAAACGTGGCCGAGTGACAAAGGAGTGGGACTTTGCGTTTTATGGCACTTAAGTGGAAATGGCAGTGGCAGGCGGGACAGTGAGGCTCCGGCTCCCAGACTCGCCGTTGCTCGGAGCCAGGGTGGGGGTGACAGAGAGCACACCTCGTCGTCACCATCGTCACTGTTACTAGCGATAACGACAACATTTATCAAGACCTCTCATCGGCTCCTCAGCTACTGGGCGCTTCGGGTGGTGTGTGGTGCTAGGTTCTTGGGGCTCCTCCCCAGCTGTCTCCAGAGGACTTGGGGACACCCTCTGCTCAGTGGGGTGACTCAGTGTCTCTGGGGGCTGCCAGCTGCTTGGCCGTGTAGGGCCGTGCCCCTGTCAGGGACTGCTTGCTCGGCCCGTGTCTCCCTGGTGACCTGTCAGGGGTGCTGGTGTGGCCAGGGGTGACCGGCTCTGGGTCCTGGAGGAGGGTCAGCAGGAGCTTCGGCCAGCGGGCTCAGGGAGGGACCCGGAGCCTTCTCCGCCTCAGTCTCTCTCAAGGACACGAAACAAGCAGGGGAGGGTTCTTCCCACCTGGAGGGACCTTCAGCTCGGACAGGACTTCAGACCAGTCCCTGGAAGTGTCTTCCTTCCCACAGAGACCAGCTCGCTGGGAGCAGGAGGGGCGCCCTGAGCGTCACCTCAGTGGCTCAGAGCGTGGCAGGTGGCCCGAGCCCCACCCCGCTCAGCCAGGCTGGGTGCCGCTGAGTTTCTCAGCTGCCGGGGCACAGCCCCAGGAAAAGCCGTCTCTGGTCTCCTGCTCTGTGACTGCGCTCCCCAGGGGGAGCCGGCCATTCTGTCCTGGGGAGGACAGTCCAGTGTGGAGAGACATCCTTCTCCTTGCGCACTCGCGTGGTGACTGGGGAGCCATCGGAGTCACCAGGACGGCCTCCCATCTCTGGCCAGGGCCCTGAGCCCCAGGAGGGAGCGGACCACACCATGCCTGCCTCTGTCAGCTCCCACCAGGGCCCGGGCCGAGAAGATGGCGGCAGGGGTAATGGGGGGGCACGCTGGCCGCCCCTTCGACCATGGATTCCCCCTCGGAGGCAGCTTCACGGGGCTGGGGAGCACCCGTCACATGCGGGGCCCGAGCGGGCCCTCAGAGCGCCCTAAGGGGACGGGCAGCCCCACCCCCTACCCTTGGGGACTTGCTTATCCCAGGGAGGCTGAGGCGTTCACGCTCATACTCTGGAAGAAGCCACAGTCCCCAGATCTTGGGGCCTGTGCCTCTGCGTTAGTTTGTGCCCCCGGCCGTGGTGCCCAGCAGGGGACCGTGACAGCCACTGCAGCTGAGCGTGCGTGCAGTTGCCTCGCTCCTGGGCAGGTGGGAGCCTCTGGGTCCCCAGGGGGCTCTGATGGGCCCATGATTTGTTCCAGGTCACCCGGTGAACACAGGACAAGGGGAGTCTCTCTGGTGACAAAGTGCCTGTCACCTCTGCAGACCTGGGTCATTGCTGAGGGGCAGATTGAGGCAACGCAGCAGCGTCTATCTCCTTCTCATGGACTGTGGCCCCGGTCCCCCTGGACCTATAGGGAAGAGGCCTGGTGGGGTGGGGGACAGCCCAGCCCCAGGGACTGCTTCCCTGCAGGACAGGAGCTCTGAGGCTGAGCAGGGACACCAAGGACACCCAGGCGCTCAGTCGCTCCTGCCCCTGCGGTTTCCACAGGTCAGCCGGGCCAGCTGTGTGCCAAGCACCTCGCCGACATCCAGCAGAAGTCCCTGAGCTTTCTCCGGTCTTTGGAGGTGCGTTCCACCCTGCTTGTGTCAGGCAGGTGACAGCCACGTGCCCTTTCCGGCCTCTTCTGTTTGGGGCGAGCTGGGAGCAGCCTGTGTCCCCTTGGAGCAGAAGAGGCCCCAGCACAGGGACTGGAGCCTCCAAGCTGCAGTAGTTCCAGGGGGGCTGGGTGGCAGGGGAGGGGAGGGGACACAACAGCGTGACCCAGGACTTGTGGGGGCTGGAGGGAGGGGCCCCGCCAAGAGTGAGTTCCTTTGGGGGGACACGGCCTGTTCTCCGGGTGGCCCCACCTGCCCTCTCGGCTATGGGGGGCAGAAGGCTGGGCCGGGAGAGGCCTGAGGCTTGCGCCCTCCCTGCAGCGGCACCAGCAGGCTCAGGAGCAGGCGCTGGCCCTTCTGCGGCAGCGGGCGGAGTCGGAGGTCTGGGAGACCCGGAGGGCCCTGGATGAGCTGCTCTTCAAACACCGGCTGGAGGTACCCCACTGTGCCCCTCCCCCTCCCCGACACCCCCCACCGGGCCCAGGGCAGCACGCCCACCTGCCCCTCCGAGCCTGTGGCTCTCCTGAGGTGGATTCAGCTTCCTCCCTGAGTGGGGGCCGCCTGCCCTTAAGGAAGGGCAGGATGGGGGCACTGCAGACATGCTGCTTCCTGAAATGTGGGCCCCGCCTGCACCCTGAGACAGGCCGGCTGCCCGCTGGAGGCCTCTCCGCAGGTGACGTGTGGGTGCTCCGTTCACAGTGGAAGCAGGAGGGTTTTCCCGCTGGTGTCCTGGGGGCTCCAGGCTGGGGTGACTGAGCCTCCCACTCACCCACGTCTTGGGCTTGTTTGGTGCCTGAGCCGAGGGCTCTGTTGGAGCTCCCGGGGGTGGGGGGAGCAGGGGCCCAGACCTCTGTGCCCGCACCCTTTAGCCCCGGCAGACGGGGTGGTGGGGGTGGTGCACAGGGCACCCAGCCGGGGCCGGCAGGGCGAGGGCGGGGCGCTGACCTCTGTGGTCTGGTCGGACTCTTCTTTCGGTCTCTGGTCTGGGGACCGTTGGTGGGACTGTCGCAGAGCACACCTAGGGGGCGTTCCCAGGGAGTAAGGGGCACACCGGCACGTGTCTGCAAGAACACGTGTACACGTGTGCCTGCGTGTGCACATGTATCTGAACGTGTGTGCACACGTGTGTGTGCAAGCACAGCACAGGTGCCCCCGGACCCACACGGCACAGACACACCTGGCCGTGTTTCACACCCCCTCTCCTCCTCTTCCTGCCGCCAGCATGGCACCTGCCGGGTGACTGCCATTCCTCAGGTGACTTCACGGCGGGGAGGCCCCAGCCCTGGCCGTACTCTGTGTCAGCTGGACACCTGCCCCCTTCCCTCACTGAGCCCTCTTCCGGGAGCAGGGAAGGGGCCGCCTCACATGGGGGCTCCGGTGGTCGGACACACGCCTGGGCTCGGCTGCTTCCTGGCACCCTGCCCGTCCTCCACCGCATGCCTGTCCTCACAGAGGCTGATGGGGAGCCACGCTACCCAGGCCAGGCCGGGAGCAGCTCCAGAACTGGAGGGGCTGCAGGTGTGTGGGGACCCGGATCTGAAGACCTCACAGAGCGCCAGATGGAGGTGCGTCCAAGCCTGGGGACAGGGGCCCCTGCCTGACATGGGAGCTGGGGTGCGGGGGTCTCGGAGAGGCAAGGGTGCCGCTGCTGCAGCAGCTGAGTCCCCAGCACCTTCTCACCTGGCAGGTCACAGCCTGCCCTGGGCGGAGATGCTGCCGTGCCCTCCCAGAGCTCCAAGGAAGGACAGGGGAGGCGGGCCGGCCACTCAGCCTCTGCAGGTGAGACGGTCCTCGACCAGCCCCACTGCAGGCAGACCGCGTTCCCAGCGTGGGCCCTGAGGGGGCGCTGAGCTGGGCACACAGCAGAGAGGCCCAGAGAGCAACATCCCGAGGCCTCACGGTGAGGGGCCACCAGGATCTGGGACTAAGTCCGTCTGATGCCAGAACTGCGAGTGACGACCGGAAAACACCGCACCTGCTCATAGGGGCAAGCCAGGCATCCTCAGAGCCGGGACACCATCGCCACCCCCACGCCTGGGCCAGTGAGCCTGGGCACGGCGGGAATGTGCCTAGTGGACGCTGGGTGCAAGACCCCAGCGTGGGGTCATGGCCCAGTAGGAAGAGTGCGGTGTCATCCAGCCCTGTCCCCCCTGCTCTGGGGCCCACAGAGCCTCTGCTGCACCCACTCCCAAGGGGCCCTCGCCGTCTCCCCAGAGCCCTGGTGGCAGCCCCTCTGGGAACAGGGAGCCCCACATTTTCCAGGCTCACCGACGTGTCCTCCTCTGCTTCTCCGAGGGTTTTCCCTGAGCCCTCTCTGGTGTGCGGGCAATAAACGCGCAGTCCGCCCCCCACACTGTGCTGGGGGCTGGCAGGTGAGGGTCCCTTGCTGCAGGCGTCAGGGACGCAGGGCAGGTGGCCTGGAGCCCCAGCCCCAGTAGAGCTGGAGGGGCAGATGTGTGAGGCCCAGCCTAGCCCCTCTCCGCCCTGAGGCTCTGCTCCAAGGGCAGGTTCTAGCCCACTGAAGCTTTTGTGTGGGCGCTGAGTAGGATGCGACCGGGGTCTCCCCCAAAATCTGGTCTGTCTGGGCAGAGGCCCCACGTGCTCTTGAAAGCCCCCCCCCCGCTGCTGTTGGGTGGCGTGTGTTCAAGTCCACTTTGTCCCTCGGGTTTCCCGTCAACCACCAAGAGAGAGGCACCAGGCCAAACCCATTTCTGCTCGCTATGCTCACAGGAACGTGTAGGATTATCACGTGCTCCTGACGGCCTGATCTCTTACCACTGTGTCACCACAGGATGACCCTAGGCTACGCTGTACACTGCGTTCCGCTTTATCTGACGCTGATCTTGCCACACCCCCAACGTGCGTCCGGTGGCAGGCCCCTCCCATTTTTTTCACTTGTGTCTTTGCTTTTGGAGCGCGGTTCTTGTGGGCAGCGTATCCTCAGATCTGGCTCAGTTTTTTCTCATCCGGTCTGGCGACCTCTGCCTTTTGGCTGGTGGCTTACACATGCGCATTTAATGCGTCCTGTTGCTACTTATTTCCTTTCGCGTTGTCCTCCTTCGCTTCCTCCTTCTCTCTGTTCCGCCCGCTTTGGGGGAAGCGAGTATTCTTCCAGGATTCCATTTCGTCTGCGTCGTTGGCACCTGGTGTTTCAGTGGCCGCTGTCACACACACACCGGGGCTTCTAGTCACTCACACACCGCCCCCTGTGGTGACGCCTGGTCTCCTCACACGGAGCAGCAGGCTCTTCCCATCTGTCCGTGTCTCCCTTTCTGGACTTTATGCAACTGTCTTCACGCATTTTGCTGGAAATATTTTATAAAGGCCACAACATACTATTTTAAACCTTCAACAATCGTTTAAAATTTAGGCAAACATACATACGTGCATACACACGTGGGCACATGCATCTGCGTGTGTGTGTGTAAATACAGGGTCCAGCACAAATAACACCCCTTTTTTAATTGCAAAACCTCTTACATGTGTGTGTGTATACACACATTTATATACACATTTATGCACACACACATATCTGTGCCCACTGCTCTCCATTCCTCTGTGTGGGGCCTGGTCTCCTCCCTGGCACCATTGTCCTTCAGCCCGAGGGACATTTCCAGTGGTGCTGTCCTGCCGGTGACAGTTTCTTTGGGCTTCATGTACTCTGCCCTTAGACCCGCAAATCACGAGGCCCCACCGCCTGGTGGGCAGGGACAGACACAACCCCCCGCCCACTGCCCCTCCTGCCAGCCGCTTCCCCTGCAGCAGGGCTCCCCCACCGGCTCACTGCCGAAGGTGCCGGGGCTCCCCGCAGCTCCCCTGCGTCTGTGCCTCCCAGCTCCAGCTGCCCAGGTCTCTCCAGACCCTCAGCCCCACCCCTCCACCCGGGTCGGGGGTGGGGGTGGTCTCACCTAACTGGCTTTTTGTCTCTCAGGATTCAGTGTTGCCTGGTGTGTCTGGAAAGCCCTTCGTTCATACGCGTGTGCGAACGCTTATCCGTGCGCCTACACACACGCGCGCACGTGCTTTTTTGTTTACTGTTTTTTTTTTAATTTAATTTATTTATCTTTAGAGGGGAAGGGAAGGAGAGAGGGAGAGAAACATCAATGTATGGTTGCCTTTCGGTTGCCTTTCGTGAATCCCCTGCTGGGAACTGGCCTGCAGGGAACCGGCCTACAACCCCGGTATGTGCCCTGACTGGGAATCGAACTGCGATTGTCTGGTTCACAGGCCTGCGCTCAATCCACTGAGCTACACCAGCCAGGGTGTTTACTGGTTTTTAAAAGTCTCTTCTCAGTGGGACAGTCAGTCTACAACCCAGTCCCCTTCACTCTCTCTCAGCAGAAGCGCAGGTGCTCACATGACCTTCTTAGAAGTGTAAGGGCTGGTTTCCATCACCAAAGGGCGGCCAGCCAAGGTCAGTGGCCAGGAGGAGAACAGTCGCTTCCTTTGGCACGGCCTGCGAAGCCCCCGAGTGTGTGTGGGGACATTAAATTGCCCCAGACACCTGACTTCTAAGGCTCTCCTGCAGAAAAGGCCCTGGGACCCCTACAAGACCCGGCTGCAGCTCACTCTCTGTCCTCAGAGCCAGAGGAGGAAGGGAGGCCGGACCAAGCCCTCTCCCAGTGGCTCCTGGCCAGACTTCATCCTGGGGACAGCCCCATCCACCAGGTACAGGGAGCCATCCCCTGGGGGGAGGAGCACCGCAGTGGGTCCAGGAGGGTCTGGGCAGCCAAGGGGAGGCCCAAGTCTTCGCTCAGCTGCCTCTCTAAGAGCCTGCAAGCAGGGGTTCTCCACGAAGGGTCCTCGGCTGGGGGAGGCTCTGCTGGCCGTGGGCATCACCCACCCTTCCTCCTGCCCAGGGGTAGTGGAGGGGGTTAGGTGAGAGCGGGTGGTGCAACAGCTGCTTTGGGCAGGGCCGGCCCCCACAACCCAGGTGGCACATTACAAAACAGGTGGCCTGGCCTACCCCAAACCTTTAGAGCACAAACAAGGGCCTCAGGTAGGATCCAGGCCGAGATGGTGAGGACCCAGCGCTGCCCTCAGAAGCTCACAGTCAGGGAGGGGGCACGCCTTAGGGATGAGCGGGGCGCGCAGTCCGGGAGGGCTTCCTGGAGCCGCCAGCCTCCTTCCTGGGCCCGGGCACGCCACTCCCATCTGGAGAAGCCGGGCCAGGGAGCGGACTGGAAGTTAGATAGTGGCGATGTGGCCTGGCCAGCGTACACTGCCCCAGTGGAGCCAGCAGGGCCCCGGAGTGCCAAGCACGGAGCTCGCGGTTGTTTCGCGCTACAGATGTTACAGAAGCGCCTCCGGGAGCAAAAGCTGCGCACACAGCACCAGGCCGCGCTGCTGAGCCTGCGCAAGAAGGCACTGGAGGAGGAGACGCGCTCGGAGCTGGCCCGGCTGGAGCCTCGGAGAAGGTGGGCGCAAGCCCCGCCCCCGGGATTCTAGCCCCTCCCCGGGCCCTGAAACCCCTGGGAAACCAACAGTACTGACCCAAATAGTGGTGGGTGTTGCCAGAAAGTAAGATAAGGCAGTAAAGTAGCCAAAAATAAGCACGTAAACATTAAAGCCACCCAGAGTCCCACCTCTGAGGTTACCTCTGCCTGCTTGCTGTCTGCCTCGTCAGCTCTTGCTGAGGGAAGTACGCGCACAGCCATTCACACGGCATGCGTAATCGACTGTATAGACCGCTTACAACCTGAGCGTTCCCCTAAAAGTCAGGAACACCTGCCCGCGCCCCGACGTAACTGCCACAACACACAGGGTGTCCAGCGCAGCGGGACTAACCAGTTCCCCAGCCCGCCCCCAGCTGGACCCTCCCACCGGAGTGCTTGTCCAAGACAGTTTCCTTCACGTGAACTGGAGGTGGGACTGCCAGGGCAGTGCGAAGGCCTCTGTTCAGCTTCCTGGTGTTGCCATACTGGCCTCCAAAAGGGTTATTCCAGCTGAGGTCCTCGCCAGCAGGCAGTTTACCAGCGTGCCAGGCTGCGGATGTTTTCCATGCCCCGCCCCCTTCCCCAAGGGACCCTGTGGCTGGGCTGGAGCTCAAGGGTGGGAGGTGCTGCCCTCCCTTGGTCTCTCAGGCCCAAAGTGGGTGGGGAAAGTGACAGGCTTGGCTGGGGCCCCCAGGGCTCCCCCAATCTGCCCACACGTGGCCACGGCCTCCTGGCGCCCTGCTGCAGGAGGGGGTGTCCCAGGTCCCCCTGGCGGGCCAGGGCTGGCTGCGTCTGGTTTCCACACCCAGGTGCCAGATGTGAGGTTGTTCGTCCTGCCACCACCCTCAGGCATCTGGGCAGCGAGGGGAACGTTGCTGGGCTGGTAGCCTGGACAGAGCAGCGGCGGCAGGCCCTCGGCAGCCTTGAGCGGGAGCAGGTAAGGCGCAGGGCAGTGGGCAGATGTGAATCCTGGGGTGGTCGGGTGGCCACAGCTCCAGAACCCCCAGAGTCTGAGCCCTCCCCACACCCAGGGCTGCTCAGATGTCTCACTTCTGACCTCCATGGCCTGTCTGGAGAGGGGAGGTGGGAGCAACTGGAAGAGGACCTGACAGAAAAATTCAAGGGACAGTCTCTGTAGGGGGTGGCTCCACCAGTGAACCATGAAGAGGGCCTGCAAGGGGGTCCAGTTATCACACGGCAGTGAGGGTGGCCCAGGGAACGGGCCTAAGGGCCCCCCGGTCTCCCACCTGAGAGCAAGCCCTGGCTGGGAGCCTGGAGCTGGCCAGCGTCATGGACCGCCCCCCAAACCTGGAGTCCTGTGTTGTAGGCAGAGATGTGGGGGTGGAGGCTGGGGCCAGGGCCCCTGATCACTGGGGCCTTGGGCTGTTACCTCCCAGGGTGGGTGTGCAGAGACCTGAGCGTGGGCAAGGTGGCTTTGCAGAGGGCTGTGAAATCAGAAACACAGCCGGGAACAGAGGTCAATGGGGACAGTTTGACAAAGGGGTGAGTTCAGAAGCTGAGAGGCAGAGCTGCGTGGGGGGGGGCAGGGGTGCAGCCAGCCTGTCCCAGCCCCACTTTGGGAAGGCCCCAAGGACAAGCACACCATCATCCCTCCTGCCTCCCGCTGGAGCCTCCTGTTGGCCAAACCCCAGGGCAGCCACAGTGCCTGGGGTCTCCTGGCCAAGCCGGGTGAGAAGGACTGGAGCTTTGGGAAGGGCAAAGGGAGGCCCCACCCAGGGCCGGAGGCGGCTGCCCCCACACCCCATCCAACAATGGGTTCCTTTCCATGTGAGCCTCTGTGCTGGGCGGGGTTGTGGCTGACACTCCCTCCCTGTCCCCCTCAGAGGGAGATCTGGTACCCATGGGACAGCCACCTGTTCTCACACCACGAGAGGATACTGCTCCTGCAGCATCACCGGGACATCCTCTCCGTGCAGAGGTCCTTGGCCCGCCTGCAGCAGGAGCTCCAGGCCACGACCCGGCTGCTTCAGGTGGGCATTCTCGCCTGGGCTGGAGGCCAGGTGGTGCCCAGGGGACGCTTGTCACCAGGCTGCTTCGTGAGAATATGCAAGTCCCTTGTAAAAACACTCCAGGGGACAAGGGACTTTGAGGGGTACAGATGGAGGGCAGATGGGGTGGCCACCTGAAGGGGTGGGGCATGGAGGTCTCCTGGGCAAGGCGGCCCTGGCCAGGCCCTGCAGGATGAGCCAGACCCCTAGTGGGAGTGGGAGGGGCTCCAAGGCAGGAAGGAGCTCCAGGCTGGGGCTCCTTGGTGCGGCCAGTCTCTTTGTGGGCGCCTTGCAGGGGGCATCCTCGGTTCAGTGCCCCATCCCGGGGGCAGCAGGGTGGTGGTTTCCAGCCTGAGCCTCCCCCATGAGTGGGGAGCGCCACCTGCTGGTCTCCCGGGCGGCTGAGGAGGGAGTGAGCTGATTTTGTGAAGCTCAGGGTGCGGGCCAGCGGGTGCGCTGCGGGAAGGCCACCAGCACCAGGTGCCAGGCTCCCGTGGGGTCAGGCCCACCTGTTTCAGCCAGATGCCTGCTGTGGGAGCCCTCCAGCCACTTTGCGCAGAGGAGAAGGACCAGGGGTGTCCGTGCTGGTTCCCCCTCTGCCATTTCTCGCAGAGTTCTGGCCCCCAAATCCCAGCCCCCAGGGACGGGGACTCTGAGACCAGCCAGCAGCTGGAGGGGCCTGTACAGGGCACATCTCGCCCCCCGACGCCACACAGGCCTGGCAGCCCCACCAGCCACCGCCCCCGAGGAAGCCCTGGGAGCCCAAGAGTCGCACTGTGAGTGGTCGAGGGTGGCCCTGGCCCGGACGCTCTCCATCTCCCTCCCCCACGCCCTAGCACTGCAGCCACGCCTTGTCACCTGCCCACGGCAGTGGCCCCATTTGTGGGCAGGGGGTCCTGCATGTAGCTGCTGGGTGGGGAGGGCCCAGGACCTATCTTTCTTTGCCCATGCTGGGGCCACTTGGCCACCTCCCACAGCTGTCCCCTGGGTGGGACTCGTGTTCCACTTGTTGAGAGTTGGGGCCCGGGCAGGACACCCCGGAGGACGCAGCCTGGGTGGGCAGTCACCGCCCCTCCACCCTGCCCCACAGCCTCGTCACGGAGCAGCAGGACGGGACACCCCCTGGGGCAACTGCAGCTGTGGATGGTCACCTGCAGCCTCTGAGGCCAGCTTGGGGACAGGAGACACCCACGGCCGAAGGCTGGCCCGACGCCCAGGGCGGGCCGGTGGAGAGCGGCAGCCACGTGGGCCACGGTAACCGGGCGGGGCAGTGGCAGCCAGAGGGACAGGTGGTCACTCTGACCGGATGCGGCTGCTCTCGGCTTAGGGCGTGGTGCCTGAAGAGGGTCCCTGGTGGCACCCGTCATGGTCGTGACCCACGACAGCAGCATCCCGGTGGGCAGAGGTTCCCCAAACTGGGCTGGAGCCGAATCCCTCCAGTACCCTCAGGCCGGTGGCCTTAGGACCCTCACAGACCTCTGGGCCCCGGTGTCCCACGCCTGCCAGGTCCAGGCTGGAAGGAAGGTGTAGCAGGACCCTGATGCACAGACAGGTCCCTGGGGCTTCTCAGCCCTGCTGTCCCCGCTGTGCCCCCACTCTGCTGGTCCCAGTGACTTTGCCACGGTTTCTCTGGGACTCAGTGACTCGTCCACAATGATCCTTTAAGGAGCAGGTAACCGAGTGTTTTCATGGGCTCACCCGAGCCAAAAGCAGGTGCGTGCCGTGGCCGTTTGGAATTAGGAGACTTTTTTCACGTGGCCACAGACACGGTGTCTCCTGCGTCCGCTGCTCTGCGCTCGTCAGCACTGACGGTCCCCCTGCCTCACAGGAGACGCGCAGACCAACCCCGGGCCCCAGGCGGCAGAGCGGGAGAGCACAGCCCTGACGGAAGGCCATTCGCAGAGCTTCCGGGGCTGGAGCCCACACTCGCCCGGCAGAGAGGGGCCCTGCAGCCCCGGGGAAGCCAGCGTGAGTGGGGGCCCGGCCCTTCTGTGTCAGCCCTGCCGGGTGGCTTGGGTGAGCGGGCCTCACCCATGTGGTGAGGGCGAGGACAGACCGGGGCCTCCTTGGCTTTCCCCAGGCGGTCGGTCCGTGGGTGGGTCACTGGAGCCCACCTGGACAAGGGGGGTCGCCGAGGCCCTCTGTAGAGGGTGGTCTGTGGTCTTTACCGGGGTCACCAGAGCACAGGGCTCTCTCCACGGCCGAGGGACACGGACTGATGCCGGCACAGGTGGCCACACCCTGGCGGTGGCACTTCTCCCACTTGTTCCCAGCAGGCGGCTGAAGGCAGAGTGGGGGCGGAATCGGGGCTGGATTTTGTTGGCAGCCCTGAGGGGGAGGCCCCCGCAATGGAAAGCCAGCGGCCAGAGGAGCAGAGGTAGGGGACCTGGGTGCGGGCCTAGCTGGGCCTGTGGGACCCTCCCTCAGTGGGGGCTGGGACCTGGGGCTGGGGGATGGCTGGCCCATCGCTCCCTGTACTCTTGCCCGGGAGCCCTCACTCTCTGGGTGCCCCTGGCATTGGCCTGGCCCATTCTGCACCCTCAGCCCGCCCCATGCCCTCCTCTCAAACAAGAATGTCACCTGGTGAATCGGCCCAAGAACCAGTGGTGGGGGCAGCAGGAGGGGCCCTCCAGGGGCACGTCCCTCTGAGCCTCTCGTGTGGCCACCCCCACCTTGCTCTAATGCAGCGGGGCTGGGGCCAGGACCCCCTAGAGACAGGGCCCTCACCCTGACCTGCAGAGACCCTGAGCCAACAGGAAACTGGGAGGACGGGGTCCCCCCTGGGGGCACCCTGGACCCGCCCACCACGTGTTTGCAGGACAGAGTCCCGCTGGCACAAGGATCCCCACGGCCCGTCCTCCTGGCAGGAAGCCGCCCAGCGGACCACCTGTCCAGGTGATGTTCTACCCCCTCCGGGACCCCCACCTTCCCCAGGACCATTGAGTCCTCGCTTAAGGGTCATCCCGAGCCACTTCTAAATCACAGCCAGCCTCTGCCATAGCTGGGCTGGGGGGCCGCCCACTCCCCCTCACCTCACGGGGTCGCAGTGGGCAGGCGAAGGACCAGGCGGACTCCCTGTCTGGAACACCCACGTCACAAATGAAACACAACAAGACATAGACAGCCACTCGGTCTTTGAATGGCAGCTGCAGTTCTGAGCTGTGTCCCCATGGCGGCCAGATATGTCCCTGCAGTGGACGTATGTCCTTTTCAGTGGCGGAACCACTGGGAATGCCAGGGGCTGTGTGCTGGGGCCTCAGACATCTCCTTGGCCTCTGTCTGGGCCCCGGTCCGCCCACTCAGCCCCAGGGTGTGGGCTGCTGCCCTCCCGGCGTTGCAGGGACGTCCTGGGGACGGCAGAGTGTGAAACTGTCGGTGACATCTCCACACTCTCCTCTCTCCATAGCTCCTGCAGAGGCTGAGGGGGTGACGCCCCCCACCCAGCACCAGGGCAGCCCCCTGCTGCAGCTCACCGCCCCCTCCGGGACTTGCTCCGGGTCCTCACTGGGGTCCCGCAGCCTCTCTCCTGTGAGCGACCTGTCCTGTCCCTCTCTCCAGGAGTTCCAGAAAGTGTCCGCCTTTCTGGTCCAGCTTTCTGAGAGCTCCACCTCCCTGTCAGACTGGGAGGCCGGGGACAGCCCAGACGCAGACCTGGGCTGGTCTGGGGGGTCTTTTCCCCGAGACCCTGGGGGGCTGCACGAGGACAGAGGGCAGGCGGCCTGGGAGAAGCCATCAGGCAGTGGGACCAGCCCCCTGCACGGCCCCTCCACTGTGTCGGGAGGCCCAGAGTCGGAGCCAGGCCTCTGGCAGCGGGGCTGGACACCGCTGTCCCCCAATGTCCCCTCCCCCAGGGCGGGATCGGGGCTGTCAGAGGCACACAGTGAGGTCTGGGACCAGGAGGGTCTGTTGGAGCCTGGCACAGGTGCCCAGCTGGCCGTGGGGTGCACCTCGCCTGCCGGTGGCTCCGATGACCTGGAGGATGGAGGGGCGCCCCAAGCGCCACTTCTGTCCCTGGGCCCTGGCGGAGGACAAGAAGCTGCTGGAACCAGTGGGAGCCTGCCCAGTGGATCAGACACAGGAAAGGCCAGTTGGGCGTCTCCCGAGGCTGCTCGCACGGCTTTCCCATCCGATCCCAGTTCTTGCAGTGACCCGTCCCTGTCCCTGTCCTTTCCTTCAGGGGCCTCAGCATCCAAAGGGGCGGGTTTCAGCAAAGGAGTGGGGCCTGGGCCTCCACAGGCCTTCCCTGGCTGTGCAGAAGGGCCCCGGGCTGCCGGCCTGAGGGCGCCCCCCGACAGAAAGCCCCCAGAGCCTCCTCCTGGAGCCCCTGGTCTGCCAGCGGCCCCGAGAGCCGAGAGCTGGGCACCTGGGCCGGGGGGGTGCGGCTCAGCCCCTGTCCCGGAGGAAGCCCAGCCTCTGCCGGGCAGCCGAGTCCTGCAGGAGATCCTGTCCCCGGTGGACGAAGTGCTGTCCTATGGCAGTGCCGACCTCCCGTCCTGCACGCACAGGGACGCCCACTTCCCTCCTCTGCCTCCCACCCTCCAGGCAGAGGTCGGGGCCACCCTCAGCCCCCACTCAGAGGACTTCCCTTCCCCGCCCGAAGACGCCCTGTGTTCTGGTGGCTCGCTGAGCCCCCCGGAGGAGGGCGCCTCCATCAACTCCTGTGAGTTGTCCTCCTTGTCTGAGGAGGGGCCGCCCGAGGCACCGTCCCCGGGGTCCCAGGGGGCCAGCCTCTGCCCAGGGGCAAGTGGACAGAGCAGAAGCCTCGGGGACCCACTGGGTGAATCAAGTTCTTTTGGGGGGAACCAGGCTGTGGGGGGCCAGTGGTCTGAACCCTTTGACTGGCTAGGGTCCCCCTCCTTTGGGGGGGCAGGCAATGCCCTGAGTAGGACCCCAAGGCTGTCAGCGCAGCATCCAACCCTGTCCCGAGTGGACTGTGCAGCGGGGGCGGGCCTGCTGACACCTCCGACGGCTGGCGACACAGGGCTGTCTGGCACCTGGCAGGGGGACCCGGCTCCTGCTTTAGACGTGGGTCCCTGTGCCGGGCCGCCCGGCATGGGCAGGGCGCAGGTGGTGGACCTGGTCTCCACGCGGCTCACCAGGAGGGTCCTGTGCGACACCCTGGCTGCACTCTCAGACGTGGCCCCACCGGGCAGCCCCACCGGGGAGCGGGCGGGTGGCAGCTGTGTCACCGGGCCTCCCACGGGGGGGCTGGGCAGTCTTGGGGGAGACGGGACTTCTGAGAAATGAGTAGACGACCTACGGTGACCCAGAGGTGTCATCGGCATCACTGTGATTGTGTGTACGTGTGCAGATGTGTGTGCGTGTGCAGATGTGTGTGTGCGTGCGCATGTGTGTGTGCTGGGGGCCTCAGGGAGCCCGGGCCTCCCCAGGGCAGAGCCGCCACTCAGAAGGGCTGGCCAGGGAGGTGGTCATAGGATGCAGGGCCTGAGACTGGGCGGTGACTCCCCGACCTCAACTGCAGATTGGCTCCGCCCCCATGTTTCTGGGCATTGGGCCCCGAGGCTTCCCCTGGGCTCTTCAGGAGGACCCTGACCCAAACAGAGGAAGAGGCAGGAGCGGACAAGTTGTGCAAGGCATGTTGAGGCCGCTGGCCAGGGAAAGGGGTGAAGGGCTCGGATTTGAGGGAGAACAGTCCTGCGGAGCTGGGGGCAGGGGAGCAGGTCCTGGGCACAGACTTGTCACCGGCTGAGGAGACCATGTGCCAGGACGGGGCCATCAGCAAAGGCCAGGAGAGGGAGGGCGTGGCTTCAGGGACACAGGAGCAAGGCTCTGAGGTGGGCTGCGGTCAAGCTGCGGACACACGCCCCTCGGCCTTGCTCAGGAAATCATCTGTGGGGACGGTTGTGGGAGTTTGACCTCTGGAGGCCAAGGGTTGCCTGCGGCCCGCGTATCTGGGGCGGGCCTGCCACACTGATGACGGCTGGCGACACAGGGCTGTCTGGCACCTGGCAGGGGGAGCCAGCTCCCGCCATGTGCCTTCCCTGTGTCCAGGGAAGTCACTTTGGCTGGGTGACCAGGGCGCACGTCTCCTGTGCGGCCCTGCAGATAGAGGACGTGGCAGGTCCAGGGTGGAAGGGCACTCCCTCGCCACAGCCAGCCACCCTGGGACCTGTCCCCTGGGGGTGGATGAGCCGAGGCCTCCCCCAAACGAGTTCCTCTGGAAGAAGCGAGAGCCCATTTCCTCGTGGCGTCTGTTACTGAACATGCCGTCCGTGACCCCACCTGGCTCGGGACCGTTTTCGGAGGTGTTGGCCGTGCTGCGCCGGAACTCCATGCTGCGGCCGCACCCAGGGGATTTCCTGTGGGGGGAGTCGGAGAAGATGAACCAGGAGCAGGACTGAGGGCTGCCAGGTGGAGGCCCTCCGGGACGGGGGCTCGGCAGGCCCGGGGCAAGGTGGTCCTGGGGCCCGCTCCGTAGGACAGCCCCGGGGCAGCTGGCCTTCACGGGCCTTCACGGGCCTTCACGAGCCAGCACTGGTGCCTAATCATAGGAGCCACCACCCAAGACGCTGACCAATGGGCTCTGAATGGGTCCCTGCAGCGCCCCCCACGCCCCAGAGCAGGGCTGTTGCCATCGCCACTGTGCTGACAGAAGCCGCAGGATACTTGGGCCGACAAGGACAATGGCAGACACTTACGTCCTGTTTGCTGGTTCCCAGGACTTTGTCTCTGGGCCACAGTGGGGGCCTGAGCTTCATCTCCCTCGTACACCTGGGAAGCTGGAGACTGCCCCTCCTGGGGACTCCCATAACTCATCTGCATCTGGTGTATCATATGCCCTGTTATCTGTCACCTCTCCTGCTTCTGCCCATCTGCCTGCTCTCATCCATCCTCCATCCATCCTTTCCCAGTTCTCTTCTTGACCTGGAAAATCCCCGAGTGATGGGGAGTCCATAGCCCACTGAGCGGTGCAGTGGCCTTAGGAATGGCCGGTCCTGGTGCCGAACCCTCCAGGACCTGACTCCTCCCATCCAGACCCCAGCTGCCCCAGGTGTAAGAGCGGACCTCACTCACTGAACTACTTCCTGGGGAGCCCCACCTCCGTGACCCGTAGTGTGGGAGACGTCTGTGAAGCTGGCATGACAGAGCCACCTGTGCCCTCCACCCTGCCACCCGGGTGCACGGCCCCTGAGAACACTGCGGGGCCCTCCCCCAGGCCCCAGCCTCTGGGGCGGCCCCTCAGGCTCAGGCCGGCTGGGTCCCATGCCACCGCACACGGCGCTGGCTGACAGTTCATGTAGATGTCTCGGTGGCTGCCCCAGGCCCACCTTCAAGCGCAGGACAGGTTTGGAGCAGGCGGGGAAATGTATTCATTCTCTGTGCACACGATTTCCAACCAAATTTTGAGCTTCAGTTTTTGGTTTTTAATTGATTCCCTTCCAGTCTTCTGAACAAATTAGTCCGTCATTTTTAATTTTTTCCCATTGATGGCTGACCCTTTGGGATTTATGATGCCGCGTGAGAGGAATCATGTGTGTCACACACACACACACACACACACACGCACGTTCGGCATGGCAGTAAATCTCCTGCGTGGAAACCCTGCAGATCTGCCTCCAGGTGCACGGTCTCCTGTCCGGCCGTGTGGGTGGGCGCTGGAATGACACTGTGGCTGAGCTAGAAGCTGGAACCGGGGCCACATGACATGACCTCACAGGGTGACCGGCAGGCCATGGTATTGCTAGAGTCATCTCCCAGCCTGTGGCCCCCTGCCCCCAAGGGCGACTAAAAAGAGTCCTTGCCTCCCTCCCTGGACAGTGGCACCTGAGGGAGGTGGGCTATCAGGTGACTGGCTATAGAACAGCATTCACTGGGGGGGTGACTTTTGTAACCCGGCCCACGTGAGGTGTGAGGGGCCAAGGGCTCGGGCGTTCGGCTGCATTGACCTGGCAAGCCTTCAGTATCCGGGTTACTCCCTTCCAGGTCTCCCGGTCCCTGTGCTCGCCTTGGCTCCGATCCCCAGTAACCTCTTGGGCCAATAAATCTTGATATCTGCCTCCAGAGAAGTCATTATCTTTTGTAGAAAATGATTATTTCTCAGTTAAACCCCACATTTAATTTTCTGGTGATCTGTCTCTTTCAGCTTCCCCGCTTAAGAGTCCCTCTTGCATAAAATGCCCACGAACCCGTCTTCAGTGCTCGAAATCCCAGATTATCGGACCAAGCTTTACGAGATCCTTTCATTTCTTACTCCGAGCACAGCCCTCACGGCCACTGTCATAAAACACCAGTGAAGGCCACGGGCTGCTGCTGGAGGGTGGTGCCACGTGCTGGGGTCTGTTTAGTTGGTGCCTTCCCGTCCCCAGGGTGGGGGTGGGGAGTTCCACAGCCGAAGCTGCTGGCCTCCCCGATGGGCCAGGCTCTCTCCTGAGGCTGGGGCCGAGGCCATCTGCCAGGGCTCGAACAAAACCAGGCCCCATGAGTCAGTCCTGGTCCACACTGGCTCCCGGGCGGCACCGAGGTCCCGGAAGAATGCCTGCAAGTCCCACACCCCTCACTGAGGGCCTTGTTCTACCTGTCCACGCTATGCCATCCAACACCAGACTGCTTCTTGGCATTTGTCCCCCAAACAGCCTGTCTTTTGCCCCAAGCAAAGGGCCCTCTCTAATGCCCCTTGAGCCCCAAAGCCTGGTGGCATTGGTAAAACTTGACTGTCCCAGGGCTCTGCTCCAACCAGCCCAATTTACCCTCTGAGTTCCAGGCTCACACAGCCAACCCCTGGCCTGACAGCGCCCTTAGTGGTCCAAAACAAACTCCTGATTTCCACACTCGCCCTGAAAATTGCTCTCCTGCTCCTCCCCTGCGTCCTTCATCTCCGCCAAGAGAGGCTGGCCAGGACCCTGCAGGCAGACACGACCCCTTTGTTTCACACTCCAGATTTGATCCACCGCAGGTCCTACCTTCAAAACATCATCAGCACCACCACCCACCTCTTACCTGAGGGCCACCATCTCTTGGAGGGCTGTGATGGCCCCTCCAGGTCTCTTGCTGCCCCTTCTGCCCTTCTACCCAGCAGCCAGAACCACACCCCACCTCCAAATCCTCCTGTGGGCACCATCACGTTCAGAGTCAAGGCCCTGGTCTGCAGCCTGGCTAGGGAGGCCCATGCGGTCTTGCCCTCAGCTGCATCCCTAGTCCTCCCTCTTCCCCCACTCACTGTGCCCTGGCTACACTGGCCTCCTTGACGGTCTTCCAACGTGCCTCCCTCAGGGCCTTCGCACATGCAGTTCCTCCGCCGGGCTGCTCGTCTCCTTTCTCACCTCCTCCACCCAAAACACCTTCTTTGAGAGGCCTCCTCTTTCTCTGTGTTCAGCGGTCCCCTCCACACCCCTCCCTCCACTGCCTTTTACAGCACTTCTCTCTCTCTGTCCTGGAATGCAGACCCAGTGGCTCCACTGTGTCTCCAGCCCTCAGCAGGCAGCAGAAACCCAGGAAATGTGGGTGGAGAAAGGCAGGAGAGCAAGGGGGAGAGATGGGCCGTGGGGAGAGTGCAAGCAGCACCTGACATAGAAGGACACGGTGTAAAGAGCAGAGAGATGACTGCATTGGTATAAACGTACTTCAAGTCCAAACCCTATAGTTTACTTAAAATTAATCACCATAAGATCAAGGTCATCCGGATCATACGAACTTGAACTCCAGAACAATGGGTGGCAGCTGCTGACTCATAACAGCTCTGCATTCTGCTTCCTTATTTTGTTTTAGTCAGTGAAAAGAAAATCTAGATATGAATAGAGATTAGGAACAGCAATTGAAAAGCCAGGTCCCTCAGGTTGGATTAAGCAAAAAGTCATATGAAGCTTCATTTCCTGGGTTTGCAGAGACCAGCTGTGGTCCACTACAAAACTTAGCGCCTGAACGCATCTGAGTTTGCATGAATGTTTTGCTACATTTTCTGAGTTAAACCCTCATATTAAGATGTCAAGGTCAAGGTGGCAGACCCTCTGAAACCCCTGGGAGCACTGCCAGATAAAACACAGGACACCCCGTTACCTGAGAATTTCAGATAAAGAGCGCATTGTTTTTGTCTACGTGCGACCCCTATGAGATATGCAGTTAATGGGATATACTTAGACTTAAAAATGCAGCGCTGTTTATCTGAAATTCACATAACTGGGATTCCTGAATTCTCACTTGCTAAATCTGACGACTCTCTACCCCAGGCTGGGGGATGGGGAAGCTCCTGAGCAAGAGGCTAAGGCGGTGAGGGTGGGCTCTGGAGGGAAGCGTGTGGAGGCCAAGCCGGGGGCGGGGCCTGATGGGTGTGGGCGGGGCCATCGGCGTGTTCGCGCAGTCGAGGGTGGGGAGAGGCAATGCCTAGCGCACGGGGAGGCGGGACCTGAGGGCCCAGGGCGGGTCTGGAGGCGTGGTCCAGCGCCTGGGGCGGGGCCTGGTGCGCGTGTACCACGTGACGGCGGTTGCCAGGGTGAAGGGTCAGGAGAGCCCCGGCACTCCCAACATGGCGGCTGCCGGGGTTGTGGTGGCGGGGGTGGCCACGAGCAGCCCGGAATCCCCTGCAGGGACGGCAGTCCGAGCTCGGCGGCCGCCCTCGGGTCCGCCCGCGAGGCTGCCTCCGCTGCTCGTGCTGCTGGCGGCGGCGGCCGGGCCGGGTGCGGGCGGCGCGGCTCGGCTGTACCGTGCGGGCGAGGACGCTGTGTGGGTGCTGGACAGCGGCAGCGTGCGCGGGGCTACGACCAACAGCACGGCCGCGTGGCTGGTGCAGTTCTACTCCTCGTGGTGCGGCCACTGTATCGGCTACGCGCCCACCTGGCGGGCCCTGGCCAGGGACGTGCAAGGTGAGGCGCTCCCCACGCGGTACGTCGACGCCGGTCCGGCCCTCGCGGCCCCCGAGATTCATCCCCGGGCCCGCGGCATTCTCGCAGGCCCTTTTCCCTGCTCTGCAGAGGTGGCCTGCGCCCTGGGAACCCTAGATGCCCGCCCGCCCCCACCCGCACCGTGGGATCCTTCCAAGGGAAGCTGCTGTATCAAGCTGGAAAGACAAGAACCCTTCTCCCCCCAGCTCTCATTCCACAGTCGTCCCAGCTCTCCCTACATCTAGTATGAGCCTTGAAAAGCTTCACTAACTTCCCCGGCCTGTATCCTCAGTTTCCTGACTGATAGACCGTTCTCAGTCATTGCACCTCAGTGCCTAGAATCCCCTTCCTCCGAGGATCCGAGTTCCAACCCCGAGTGGCTTTCCCTTTAAATCCTTCTGGGCCGGGTTTCTAACCACATGGATACTGAAAGTGAGCCCCCAGCGTACATTCAAAGGCCTTCCAAGCATTTCATTGGGAGGTTCCTTGGTCACATACACGCAGCCTTTGGTGACTGCCATCCACCAAACTGGTGGTATCGCGCCTGCACTTCATTGTTGGCCGCCAGTGTGATCCTCCTGCCACCAGTGTGATTGTCCTGCGAAGTGTCAGTGCCCCGAGCCGGGTGGCGCAGGTCCTCTCTGAACCATGGAGTTGGAGCAGCCTCCTGCCCTCCTGCCCACCAGCCCGCCAGCTTTGAAACCGGATGTAGATTGCTCTGAAGTAGGAGCTGGTCCCAGCAAGAGTGAGGTTTGGCAGGACTCCCGCTGGTGTTGCCTAACCTGTAATTATGTGTTTCAGTGGGCGGGAGGGCAGCAAATTGTGGTGCTTCCTTCCTACCCTTGTTTTTAAGTCTTATATCCAACCCTGCTGTAATTTTCTCATACCTGAACTGATTCAGAACCTTTAAAGGAGTCGAAATAGTGTTTTGTTTTGATTAAGATGTTCTTTGTTTAGTTTCAGAGAGAGGGAAAGGGAGGGAGAAAGAGCCAGAGAGAAACATCGATGTGTGGGTGTGTCTCACATGCCTCTAACCAGGAACAGAACCTGCAACCCAGGTCAGGTACCCTGCCTGGGAATCAAACTGATGACCTTTCAGTTTGCTGGACAACACACAACCAACTGAGCCACACCAGCCAGGGCCAAAATAGTGTTTTTGTTCATCATTGTAAATGATTATCTTTAAGGGACATTCTCATCTTAGCTTGGAGTGTTGGGGCTTTTTAATTCTAAAGGGCTTGTTCTCTGAGCTAATGTTTAAGTACCCAGAGTTGTTCACTGGTCACAGCGGAGACCAGAGACTGAGAAGTGGACAGAGAATTCCTTAGGTTGGTTGATTTGGTTTTTTCCTTAAAGCCTTTGCCCTGAGAACAAACAGGTGCTTAACAATATGGATAAGTTTTGGGTTCTCATTAGTTATTCGGTGGCAGAACAGATACGGCAATTAAAATGCAGGGAGCCCTGGTAAGACCTTTGTCACCTGTTTATTGCATATTTTGACTTTTCAGCTTAGTGTGTGAAGTACAGAAATCGTAAAGTATGATTAAAATATTGCAAAGTATTCCGTGGTCGAGCCAGCACTTAAGGAGCTTGGAGTGTTGTCCCTGGAACCTGGAAGGCTGCTCGTGAAAGCAGACTGTCCAGTTTGTGCCAAGTGGCATGAGTGACCTCACTGTTAACTGAGGGAGGTCGTTCTGGGAGCGCGGACGCCGTCTGAGTCCAGGCCGGAAGCGCGAGGCCGAGACCAGAGGCAGGCACAGCAGGAAGTAGAAGACAGCTGCAGCCCAGAGGGCAAGGGAGGCGAGAGCTGGGTACGAAGTGAAGGGTCTTTGGGGGCCCGGCTGAGGGTCCCCAGCACCAAACCACTTCTGAGGCTGCCTGAGCACCAGCTCTGATTGGGGAGTGTCCCACTGTGGACTTATTAGGAACACAGGGGGTCAGCTCCAGCCCCTGGGGCCTTGGGGTGGTGGCTGGGGGGTGCTGAGCTTGGTGAGCATCAGCTCCCCTGCTGCACCCCCTGCCATCGCCTCCTCCCTGGCCGCCTCCGTGTGCTGAGAAGGAGCAGAAAGCCCAGAACGTGCATGGGGTGGGGCTTCTCCCCTGCTGGGCAGACCTCTCTGGTCACAGCCTAGGGACTGTGTTTTCCTGGATGCGGATTGAACTTGAACCCTTCACAGATGTAATAAATGCTTGTTCGGGTAAGAAGGTGGCTCGACAAGCAAAAGGTCTGCAGTTGGGTGTAGACAGCCGTGCCACGCCGGCCTCAGGCCTGTCACCACTCTGGTCCACTCCTCCTGTGGCTGGGCGCGGGGGTGGCCAGCACCCTTCCAAGGTAGCTCTGAAGTGCCTCTGTGTAGACCGGTCAATGTGGGGAGTGTCCCTTTGATGGTCACTGTGTCCCTGGGGTCTGTTCTCGCCCCAGCAGCTAGGGCAGGATGTCTGAGACTGGCCTTGGGGTTGGGGCGGGGGAGGGAGCTGGGACCTGCTGTGCACTCGCCACTGCCCATACCCATCCTCCCCGTTCACTCCGTAGCAGACGGTGGGACTGTGAAGTGCAAAGAGACGGGCACCCAGAGGTGGTCCCACAGCTGAGTGACACGCCTGCAGAGGACAGGGCGGGCACCCGACTTGCTGCCTCGTGGTGTCTGCCTCTGCCCCACCTCCCTCTGGGCTCTCCGTCACCTGGTCTGCACTGGGTGCCTGTGAGGCCACAGCCTTGGTGACAAGCTGGGGCACTCGGCGTCCCCCTGGCCCAGTGTAGGCCCCCCTGGGCTCGGAGGGGAGCAGCTCCATCACGCTGCACAAAGCCGCAGTGAGGGAGGCAGCGGGTTGTACCGGCTGCTGGCCCTGCCTCTGCTCTCAAGACGCGGGGCTTGTTCTTGAAAGCTTTTCCTGTCTGACCATGTTGCGGGGCTTCAGCTTTTAACTGTAGTCCCACCAGGGCCCTATGTGGCCTGAGTTTCACCTCGCTGGGGACCAGAGGACCAGCCCCGGCCACCAGCCCCGGGTGAGGCTACGAGAGCATGTCTGGGCTCCCCACAAGGGTGGCTTCCGGATAACTGCCCTGCGCTGCTCCCGCGCGCTGGTGCCGCGACCAGACGCAGGTGCGGCCCCCGCCCCTTCGAAAGCCCGTACTCAAGAGGCAGGTGCTGATGTAAAGGACAGGGGTTTTATTTGGGTGCTGGCCCCCTGGAAGCTGGGGGACTGGTCTCAAAGCCCACCTCGGGTCCCAGGTGGCCTGCTGGTTTATCTAGGGATCCGCGGGAATGGGGACCGAGGGATTCCTGGCAGCGCGCAGTGCCTCAGCCCTGCCCTCGGTGGTCTCAGTGTCACCTCCTGCGAGCGTCCCCCATAGGTTCGTTGCAGCACCGCAGAGTCACTGCTGACACCGGGACCAGGTGGTGAAGGAGGCGTTCCCCTGGTTCCACTGGCACTGGCCCGAGTCCTGGTGGCTGGGGCGGCCCTTGGTCAGGCAGGGGCTGCACACATCCCGGCGCACGTTGTGGCTTGAACTTGGAGCTCTTTCGGAAAGGCCTTTGCGCAGCTGGGAAGGGACTCACACCAGGAGAGGCTGCTCCGACCTCCGGCACCTGGACCATGGGTTTGGGAGCCCTGACCTCACCCTGAGGTTGCCTGAGGTTGGGGGAGCCGCACCTGGGCCCTGCGCCGCCGGGAAGACCCTGGGCTTATGTGTTCTCTGAGCCAGGGGCGGTGAAGCCATGCCGCCGTCTTCGCTGAGGCTTTCATACATGTTTTCATTAGAATTTGGCAAATAATAGTGAAAGGCTTTATCCTGTTGAATTAAGTGATGTGGTTATTTGGCAAGTAACTTGAAATAAATTCTAGTCTACTCCATTTGGAAGCCTACTTCAGGAGCATCGCTTTAAGCCCGTGGTACTAACAGGCTGGTGAGCAGAAGTGAGCACGAGCCGCGGCCACTGCCTGTGGTGTCCCCGGCGGGCGGGCACACTCGAGTGCAGCTGGGCGTGGCCTGAGTCATGAGGGCAGACGATCTGTCAGTTCCGAGTGGTGGTCCCCTTTGTGTGGTGGGGTGCAGACAGGTGGGACGGACAGGCGGAGGGGAGGGCCTGGGCTGAATGAGGCCACTACCCGAGGCGGACCTTTGAAACGGCTCCACTCGCACTGTGTTCAGGGAAAAAGAGTCTCTCTTTTGTGTTCCCTGAATGCACCCATCTGCCGGGACACTGGCCGTGACTGAGACGCTCCCCGTCTGTGTGCGGTGGCCTCGCAGAGGTGGCCTTCTCGCCAAGGCAGACTAAGGCCTGGTGAGTGTCGGTGTGCCCTTCACCGGGGCAGCCGCTCCATTCCGGGGCCAGTGTGTGTGCAATGGCAGTCGCCGGAGGACTCTTGGATTCTCAGGGGTCCAGGCAGCCAGGCCGGCTGCGTCCCGAGGGCTTGCCTCATCCTGAGGGCTTGCCTGCTGGGATCACCACGTGTCACCGAAGTCCCCAGTACTGGGTGCCACCCTGTGGTGGGCAGGGAAAGGCAGCAGATGCGGGCCTTTGTGACACGGGTGCGGGAAGAGCAGAGGGACGGGACGGGGACACGCCAGGGGCTGCCCCTGGCTGTCCAAGCTCCTGCCGCCTGCTGCACTGCCTGCGTGGAGCATTAGCCATCCCTCCCCGGGCCTGTGCTTCAGGAGGGGCCGAGACACTCTCCCCGCCCGCTGGAGTGGCCCTGGGGTGTGTGCCGGCAGTGCTGAGGCCCAAGTCTGGGGCCGCGGGCAGGGGGAGCACAGCTGTGTCCTTTCGCTGGACCCTTTCACGTCCACGTTGGCCGACTTCACACAGTCAGGAGGAAAGGGTGTGCGTTCTTAAGCAGAAGTGGTGCATGGGTGAAAAAAAACGGCAGTCACCAGACTGGGCATGCTCGGGAGTCTTCCTGTCCCTGTGCGCCCTGGGGCGGGGGCGTGGCTCTCCTTCTGGGCGTGTTTCCACGTGACTGCGAGGTTTCAGACCACGACAGAGCGCAGAGCGGATGCCCTGTACCTGGATTTCACCCACACTCCTGGCTTAGCCCGGCCCACAGTACAGGACAGGCAGCTGCAAGGAGTCACAGCTGTGGCAGAAGGTGAGCAGGACGCACCTGGTCCAGGAGTGGCCCAACCCCCAGGCCCATTGTCCTCGAAGGTCCCCACTGCTACTTTGTGTCTCTGCGGAGGCCACTCCATTGCCTCTTGGGTCCCCCTCCCCTAGGCAGGGCGGGGCACCAGGGAGAGTTTAGGAAGGGGCCCCGGGTGGCGGCATGGTCCACCTTAGTGTCCCGCAGAAAAGGAAAAGGCCTCTTAAAGGGACGCAGCACCAGTGGCCTTTGGAGGATGTCGGGGGCCCTTCCACTGAAACCAGGGACCGAGGGCACGAGCCAGCACTTTCTCCCCTGTGAGCAGCACACCCTGAGATCACCACGGGCCTGGCTACAGCCGTTGAAAATTGAGGCTTGCAGGTGTGTTCAGTGAGGGGAGGGGGGCAGCCAGGGCTCACCCAGTCCTGGTGGGAGCACACTCACCCCAAAGAGTCGGACACAGGTGTGGTGCAGGCACCCAGGTCTCCAGGCACCAGGGCCGGTGCAGCCAGCAGCGCCCAGCTGGTGGGAGAGCGCAGGGCGGGGCTTAGGCACAGGCAGTAGCAGGCCAGCCGTGTCCACCAGTCGCAACGGCAGCCCCACTGGGACTCGATTTAAACACACAATCCAAGCGAAAATGAGACACCTGGGAGCTCTGGGCCCGTGTCAGGCGGCTTGCTGGGTGGCGAGCCCTGGTTTGGGAGGCGCAGTGGGTGGGCACGGCCCGGCAGCTGCTGGCGGGGGTGGCAGTGGGGGTGGGCGGGCGTTGGGGTGGACGCCGACGCAGGGGCACACGGCTGCTGCGTCGTTGTCTCCGGTTCATTCGGATGCTGGGGGTTTTCTGTCATAGAAACTCCGAAGGTGGGAAAACACATGTGGGTTTAAGCCGCTCCTTTCTATTCCCAAGAACGGTGGCAGTACTCCCGGGCTGGTGGGAGGCATCGTGGGGAAGCACTGGAAACCGCCTCCTCGGTGGTGCTGGACCATCCCTGGTGGTGTCCAAACAGGTGGGGGCAGGGGCAGCTGTTACCAGCTGTGTCCATCAAGGAGGGGACCGCAGCCCTGCTGCTGTTCGAGCTTTGTCCATCTTCCCAGCTGGGCACAGCACCGTCTGGGCCTGAAAAGGCTGGCTGGGGTCGGGGCCGGCCAGCCCAGCGCCCGCCCGCCACACTGAAGGCCTCACCGCTTCTTTCCAGACTGGGCTGCCGCCATCCGAGTCGCCGCCCTGGACTGTGCGGAGGAGAGGAACCACGAGGTGTGCCAGGCCTATGACATCCACTACTACCCCAGCTTCCGGGTGAGCGCGCCTCCTGCCTGCACCCCGGCCGCCTGGGCCGCTTCTGGGCCCTTGGTGGGAACTTCTGTTTGCAGAGGGTCCCCATCTCGTCCCACCCGGTGGGACCGGACCCATCTCTGTGGGGTCCACACACGCCCGCCCTGCGGGTGGGGGCGGTCAGCTCTGCTGCCAGGTCTGGGTCTCACCGTCCAGTGCTCCCTCTACCCCCACACACGGCCATGTGCTGTGGCTGCTGTGTGCACCCCGGGTACCAGCCGGCCCGGGTGCCTGCATGACCCCCGGTGCGGCTCCCGGCCCGGACGCCCTGAGCTCACCATGTGGGCCCTAGACAGGCCCGTGTCCCACTAGGAAGCAGGGGTCCACAGATGTGAAAGGTGGGGAACCGTGTCTGTGGCGTGGGTGTGGCCACACACCTGCACAGCAGCATGTCTCCGAGGGAGCTTTGCCACCCTCCCCTGTCAGTCCCCTGCCCGGTGCCAAGTGGCCGCCCCCAGCTCCTGCCTGAGCCTCGTCCCTTGAATGTACTCCTGTTGGGTCGCGTGGTCGGCTGTGCGCACGGTGCCTCTCTCAGTACACAGGGTGCTGCTGACAGTCACCTGCACTGCTGTCCCCTCTGTCACTGCCCTTCGGGTGCTATGAGCATGTCCCCTGTCGTGTGGGCACCGGCCCAGGAGAGCCTCGCTGGGTGGGGGCTGCACTGGCACAGTCTCCGCTGCCCGGGGACAGTGACTGTGTGTGGCCCTGTGTCACACCGTCAGTGACACGCCTGCCCTGTGGTTTGCCTGTCCCCTCCCGGGTCGTCCGTTTCTGGACTCCAGAGCCCTCTGTGCGTTTGCCACGCTGCTCTCCCTTGGGCGTGTGGGTGGCGCCTCGCCGTTTGCACCTGTCTTCGCCGTTATTTTCCCGAGGAGGTTTCGGTTTTCATGGAAAGCTCTCTCTCCTGCTTGGAGATGTTCGTTTGTGCCTGTCGTCCTCCCCGAAGTCTGTGTGTCTGTGTGGCTCTAGCCCCGGCGTGTCGGGTCGTGTGCAAACCGGACTCCGGTGCCCACCACCCTCACGAGTCTGACGCGGGGCCGCGGCCACAGCTCTGCGGTGGGGAGGCGGGGAGCTGTTCTGCCGCTCACCTGCCCTGTGTTCTCCTCCCAGTACTTCAAGGCCTTCACGAGGGACTTCACGACCGGAGAGAACTTTAAAGGTGAGGGCGCGAGCCATGCTGCTCGCTCAGATGGGCCTCAGAGACCCGTCAGCGTGAACACGGCCTCAGAAGGCTGGGCGCCCCGCTGCCGGGCCGTCCCACCTGCCGGGCTGCCACCAGCCCGCCCTGCATGGTCCCAGCAGGAAGTTTTCATTTTGCGCTCTGCCTTCCAGGCAGGCAGTTAGGCCTTGTTTAAAAGTAAACGCAGTGGTTGGAAAGGCAGTGGGGAAGTCTACCGGTGAGTTTTAATGAACGAGCCCCCCTGGCAGCCAGTGTCCAGGTCAGGCCCCAGAGCGTGACCGGTCAGCCCACAGGGGACAGCGCACTCAGCAGAGGCCGTCCTGCCCACGGCGAACCTGGCGTGGGCAGTGGTGGCGTGGTGAGTCCAGCTTGGCGCGCTCTCTCTGCACGTGCGGCCTGCCAAGAGACCCCCGCCGCTGTCCGTGCAGCGCTCTGGTGGGGGTGGTGCAGTGCGGTGGGCACCCTGCGATGGTGGCTGTCCCCCAGGTCCCGACCGAGAGCTGCAGACAGTGAGACAGGCCATGGTCGACTTCCTGCAGAACCACACGGACACAAACTGGCCCCCTGCCTGCCCGGCGCTGGACCCCATTCGGTGGGTAGTTCTGTAAGAAGGGCATGTTGTGCCGTGAGTTTAATTCTGCGAAACGTAGACGTGCATTAAGCAGAGTGGGCCCTGGTGCCTGACGGCCGGCTCACCGTCCCTGAAAGCCGCTTTTTCCTCTGCAAAGGCCCAGTGACGTGCTGTCTCTCATCGACAAGCGGGACGGCGTCTGCGTGGCTGTCATATTCGAGAGCAGGGGCTCATACGTCGGACGAGAGGTACTCTGCTCCTCGTTCGGGCCCCTGGTGTGCTGGGCTCCGCTTGGGGCCTGGGGTGAGATTGCGGGTGGCTGGGGGAGCCTCTCCGAGAGCAGGACTGGCGCGGTGACAGGCGAGGCCTGTTGCTTGTGTGGGGCCCGGGGCCCACAGGGAAGCGGACCTGGGCCTGGATGTGGTTCTTGGCTCCCGTGCGCTGTGGCCACAGGTTTTCTCTTGTATTTTGAGCCCAACTTTCTTGCTAAATCCGAGGTTCTATAAAACATGTTTCTGTCCTGAGAGTTTGTTCTCTTGTCCCTGCGTGGGCCTGAAGCCTCTGCCCTCGGCAGTCTCAGGAAGGCCCTGGGGCCTGGCACCCGTGTGGGTGACAGGAGGCCCTGCGCCCCGCCATCGGGGAGCTCTGGGGACGCGGGCGGAGGCCAGGGCCATGTGGCTTTCCCAGGTGCGGGTGGCCCCAGAGGCAGGTGCCTGCTGTAGGGCACACGGCTGCGGGTGTCAGGGAAAGCCTGAGGGCGGGCAGTGGCCCGTACGCGCACGTGGCATTGACGGAGGTCGGCTTCCCGGAGGGCGTGCCGGCTCCGATGGCACGGCACAAGGTCACTGGCAGGCGTTCCTCTGACCCTTGGCGAGACCCAGGACCAGATGTGACGACAGTCTGGGTGTCGAGAAGACAGACACAGGTTTATTCCTGGCGTGGAGTTTCTAAGTCCCTCCTGCAAGCAGGCATCTCCGGCAGGTGTGGTACATCCTGGGGACGGCGCCAGCTGCAGGGAAGGTGACTCACACTCTCCGGCCCAGGTGACGCTGGACCTGATCCCCTACGAGAACATCGCCGTGAAGAGGGTGCTGGATGCTGAGCAGGCCTTTCTGGAGAAACTCGGCATCTCTTCTCTTCCTTCCTGTTACGTGATTCACCCAAATGGGTCGCACGGGTTAACTAACGTGTGAGTGCGGTTTGGCTTAAAGGCTGTTTGTGACACGTGGTGGTATCTGGGAGCCCTCAGGGTGGGAGCCCACCCTGGGCCTGACGTGGTCTGGGTCTTCCTCCTGATGAGCGGTGGGCGCAGGCAGCCCCGGGCTCCACCCTCTCACCACCCCCGCCTCTTGCCGCAGCCCCCAGAGACCACAAGGCTGGTGTTTGCCTCTGTGCAGGGGCCGGGGCAGGGGCAGCTGAGAGAGACCCAGCTGGGGAAAGGCTGGTAAAGGCCACAGATGAGAGAGAGGTGCCCCTCAGCTGGGCTCCCGCCCCTCAGCGGTGGGGAAGGCCGGCCCTGCTGCGTGGTCCACACACCGCCTGTGACCTGGAGACCCGGCCCTCCCGTCTCTACTTACTCAGCAGCTCTTGGTGGTCACCATGTGCCGGGGACATAGCAGTGAGAAGGCAGAACACATGTCCTGTCTTGAAGGGCTTCTCTTTCATCTTCTAGTTTACCTGGGGCACCAGGGCCCCCCTTTGCCACCCAGAAGCCTCAAACATCCCACAGTACCTGTGTTTCTGTTCTTAATGGAGACTCCGGAATTCAGGGGACTCAAGGCCACTATGGAGTTGGACTGTCCTGCCTCATGCTCTGCAGTTCAGCTTTTTGGGGTGCTCCGAGTGCCTGGGCCTGCTCCCTGGGGCGCTGGGCCCTGCACCAGAGGCCGCCGGGGCCTGTGTTTACCCGGCCGCTTTGGTGGACCCCTGAGCTACTAGAAGTGCCCAGCAACGGGCTTCACACACCCTCAGGGCATGTCCCACCCTGCCCACCAAAGGGGTCGCATGTGCAGCAGGCCCAGGGGTGCCAACCCAGGCCTGGGGTGGGGGCGGGACACCCTCCCCCGGGGGCGGGACGTTCCGCTGAACGTCTGTGTGTTACTAAGCGGACACTGGCAGATGCTCAGCCAGCTTCACAAACCGACCTAATGTCTCCACTGGACAGGAGAAAGTCGGTCTCGGCACTTACTATGGCTGGGACTCAGGCTTGGGTGGGTTTGTCTGTGTCCTGGGGGAGGGGCCTGATCTCAGCCTGGGGACTGAGGGACTTGGGGGGGGGACTGGGCAGCCGGAGCCAGGTCTTGCCTTGGCTCAGTCCCTGCCCACCCCCCGCTTTCTCGCAGTGCGAAGCCTCTCCGGTCATTTTTTTCCTCTTATTTGAAGTCATTGCCGAACGTGAGGAAAAAATCGCCTTTGTTCCCTGAAAAGCTGAGTGAAGCAGAGAATGAAGCTGAGGCTGTGGAGTGGAGGGAGTTTGACAGGCAAGCGTTACTCTTGCACGAGAGCTGCCCCGGGGGGGGGGGGGGGGCGGTGAGCACTCGAGGGAGGCCACAGCGTGGCGGGAGGGCGGTGGAGCTCCTTGGCTGGTGGCCCCCGTCCCCCAGGAAGCCCAGCAGCCATGGGTGGCTGCCGAGGAATCAGCTGTGTCCCCTTGGGCAGGGGGCTGGTGTACAATGCGGGGGTCGTGCTCACCTGGCCCTGCCGTGCCCACTCTCAGGTCGAGACTGTACACGGCGGACCTGGAGTCGGGGCTGCACTGCCTCCTGCGGGTGGAGCTGGCTGCCCGCAGCGCCCTGGCCGGGGCCGAGCTGAGGACGCTCACCGACTTCATCACCATCGTCGCCAAGGTGTGCAGGGTCTGTTCTGGGCTGGGGGCGCCACTCCCCGGGCCCAGGCTGTGTGTGTATGTCTCCTGGTCAGCTACACAGCTGACCCTGCTCAGGCCCCAGGACACAGCACACGTGGGGGCCCGGGCCGGGCCGGGTGTGGGTCAGAGGGCAGCTCTCTCCAGGGGCCTGTCTGAGGGGCACCTGCCCAGGTCAGGGGTAAGCGTGGTGGCCGTGGAGGGGCACGGGTCAGCGAGTGGCCTGAGCCGCCAGCTTGATGACGAGGGGCATGGGGGAAACGGGGCGGGCGGGCAGCTTCCTCAGGGAGGATGAAGGGGGTCTGCTGGGGGCCAGGACCTGTGTGGCGGGCCCTCCGTTTCAGAAGGTAGAACTATAGGGGCTCGAGGGTTTGCCAAACGTAGTTCCTGCCGAGAGCTCCTAGCTCCGGGACTGAAATCGAGGTCCAGTCGTTTTCCTGGCCCAGGGCAACTGGGGGGTCAGAGCAGTGGGGAGCGAAAGGCTACCACTCAGGTCCTTGGGGACGGACCTGAGCCCCTGTCCTCCTGCCCTGGCTGCTGCCCCAGAGGGGTTACAGCGCTGGGACCTGATGCTCATTATTACCCAAGAGATGAGGGGGCTTCACTGTGGAAGGCGTTCGCCTCGTGCATGGTCCCCAAGCAGTGATCCACGTCCAGCTCTCTGGGTGGGCTGCGTGAAGCGGGAGGACCGATATCTGAAGGAGTAGCGAGTCATCTGCGTGTTTGGGTGGGTGGAAGAGAGCCGTGCACAGGCCAGCACCATGACCCCACTGTGGGCTCGGGGCCCGAGCTTGGGGCGCCTGGGGAACGGCCTCGTCCCTTTGAGGAGGCGCCCCGCTCATCTGCCCGTCACGGGCTACGCGGCCTCTCTGTCGCTGCGTGGTTCTTGTGCACGCGGGGCGCACGTCTGAATCGTTTTTGTGCAGGTGCCTCAGACCTGAAATGAAACACTGGGGAGTAGGCCGCGGTGCCGGGCGCCCTGCATCGGAAATAGAAAGCTCTTCCGGGGCTGGCAGGGCGCTGCCCCGAGGCCCCTGCCTGGGGACCCACGTGGTGCCGCACACCTCCCCAAACAGTCTCTAAGTGCAGCCCTTCCCGCCCAGCTGTTCCCCGGCCGGCCGCCCGTCCGGAGGCTGTTGGAGATGCTGCAGGAGTGGCTGGCCAGCCTGCCCCTGGACAGGGTCCCCTACAACGCTGTCCTCGACCTGGTCGACAACAAGATGCGGGTGAGCCCCTCCCTCCCAGGGCCCCTGTGGCTGCTCTGTCCTCTCTCCTAGCCTGGTGCAGACAGGTACCTTCACACCACCACGTGGGCGGCTCTTCCTGCCCCGTTTCCATGGTTACTGCACTCGCTCCCCCCTCTGCCTCTGGTGCTGTCTGCCTGCTGCTGAGCCCTCAGTTCGAGGACAGTCAGCGACAGCGAGCCCCGCACAGGCAGTGGCAGTTTCTCCAGCGTGTGGCACCGGGGCTTTTTGTTGTTAGTGTAAGTTTGGAGGGAACTCCGAGTTCTCCGCCTGAGGATGAGCAGAAGTGCTGTGCTGAGCGAGAGTGTGGGGACCCCCCCCCCCCGCTGCCCTCAGTCGGACCAGGCGCCCAGGGCCGTCCTCGCCAGGCCGTGGCCAGCACACCCCCGAGTGAGCCTGTCGGAGTTCTCAGAATCTGGATAAACGTCTCCAAGCATGACTGCCACTGGTCAGAGAACATTCACCAGCTGTTTTGAATTACGTCCTTTCGGTTACCTCTTGGTCTTTCCTTTCTTTTCCCAGATTTCTGGAATATTCCTTAGCAGTCAGATAAGGTGGGTGGGATGCCAAGGAAGCCGCCCGGAGTTGAGGGGCTACACGTGCTCCCTCTGGAAGTTGTTCCACACCCTGACCGTCCAGGCCGGGGCCCACCCAGAAGCACTGGACGGCACAGGTAAGTGTCCCCGCTCGGCCGGGCACTGTCGGCCCCCCCGACTCCGTGCTGGGACCTGCCAGGTGCTGCCAGAGGCTCGGCAGAGGCTGGTTCTGCTGTGTGTCCTTGGTGCCCTGGGGTCCCCTGCTGCCCGGATGGAGGGAACGCCTTCTCAGGCATCTGCCCGGACCCCACATGGCCCCGACGGTGGAGCCCGTGTTCCTGTGCACGTGTCTGGCCGGCCTGTGGGGGCTCAGGCGTGGGAGGGCGGGGCCCAGATCGCCCATGTGAGTGCTCTGCTTTTGCTTTAAGAGAACATGGGGACAAGTGGACACACACGGGGAGGTGTCTGCCTCTCGTTGCGGGACGAGTCACCCTGACCCTGAGCAGCTCGGGACACCACACTCTCACCACCTCCCAGCGTCTCGTGGCCGAGCTGGGCCTTCCAATTGGGCGGAATGTGAGTCGGGGCCTGAGTCCCACTGAAGGCTCAGCCAGTCGGGGACCACCTCCCGGACTCGCTCTCAGCTGGTGGCAGCAGTCACGTCCTTGTCAGCTGTGCTCACCGCAGGTCCTCTCCCCAGGCCACTGCCTTCACCACACTGGCTGCATCAGGGTGGCAGCCAGAGAGGATGCCCTCCGAGGTGTGACGCCCGCCAGTCGCGTGTGCTCTGGTTCCTTGGAGGCACCGTGGGCCCAGCCTGCTCTCGAGGGGGGACCACGAGCCATCTCAGAGGCTGCCTGCCGCAGGCAGGGAAACAACCAGAATCTGAGAGTCGGGTTTCACCCTCTCTGCCACTGGGATGGCTGACTCAGCATTGTAGTCTTTGTCCCACCCGAGACACCCGCTGTGGGCAGTGTCCTATGGCTGTGGGCAGCACGGGACAGCCGTGAGGTCCACTGGTGTTCACGTTAGGTCAGAAGTGGGTCTGGACCCCACAGCCTGGTGTTCTTGCCGGGGAGACTGCAAATCCCTTCGCATCGTCTTGTGCCGCTTAACAAACCGGCCCACAGTGCCGGGGGTTAAAACGGCCTCCGTTCGGTGCGCTCACACTCCCGGGGCCTGGCAGTCCGGGGACTCCGCTCTGGGACGCGCGGGGGCCGGCCTGGGCGCAGCAGACGCAAGTCCCGCAGGGCAGTCTGTCACTCCCCGCACTCGGGCGGGGCTCTCAGGCCATGTCTGGGCCCCTGCCTCACGTCCACCACACTCTGTGGTCAGCTAGGTCTCGTCCAGCCAGATGCCACGGAGGAGGTGGAGTCACACACAGCGGACGTGTAGCAGTCTTCAGAAACTTCTGCCACCCCAGCTCTCCTCCAGCTAACGCTGGAGTTCTCTTCAAGTCTCGTGGGAGCAGAGATGGGCTTTCAGACCGTAGACTGTTAAGAATCACACAGAAAAAAGAGCAGCGGGATTTTTAGGAGAATCCTCAGAGCTCCCGGACCAAAGGTGAAATCAGAGGCCACCAGGCCTAGGACCCACTCCTGGACCAAGAGTGCAGCCCTAGAAGGAGGCACATGTCCCGGACCCCCCATCCCCACCCCCCAGCAGGAAGCACACTTTGAAGGCAGCAGGGTGAGAGCCAGGGCCACTCCTTCCCAGGAGGCCCCGCAGAAACGGCACCAAGCTGAGGCTGGGGTCACGAGGACGGCAGATGGCGGGGTTCACAGATGCTGTCTCGCCTGGTGGCGGCACCGGCACCAATCACAGCAACACCAGGAGCGCGTCCCGTGCCCCAGAACTGGGTCAGACGGAGACGCCGGATTATGTCTTGGGAGGTTTTTCCTCTCCTTCCTCCACATTTAAACCCCATCGACTAAAAGCCCCCACACCCCCTAATCCCCCACAGGTAGAGCTCTGTGGTTCTTGGCCACTTTAAAGATTAGGGGGGTCGAGTGTGCAGTGCTCTGCTGGGGAGCAAGGAGGATTACACGGCGACGTTCAGCAGATGTCGGCCCAGGGGCTGCTGGCTGCTGGTGCAGGCAGCAGGGTAGGGGCCCAGTCCCGAGTGTGTGCACGGGGCCGGTTTCACTGTGGGCTCCACCTGGCTGCCCTGGAAACACTCTGCCTGGGAGAAGTCCGCTCAGCTCACACCTGCTCTGAGGGAAATGAGCGGGCGGCCCAGGCCAGGGGCAGACGCAGACCCGGCCCCGGGGCCCAGGAGTGTGGCCCGCGGCCAGCAGCTCAGCGCAGGCCCCAGGGCCACACCGACCTGTGCAGAGGCCCCTCACCCCAACTAAGACGGATTGAGCCTCCGAAGCATGTCTTTTATTGCCGACATTTAATCTGTTCTAATCTCACGGTCTCGTATCTGTATACTCAATCCCCCGTATTAGTTGTCTGGAGGGGCCCGAGCTGCCCTTGGTCTTCCCAGGGTCCCCATGTCAGCTCCATGCTGGCCGCTGCCTCCCAAGTCAACACGGTGGCACTCCCGACACTGCTCACTTGGGGGCTGAGAGGGCCTGGGGGTCCCCAATCGGAGAAGTGTCCCCTCTTCCAGGAAGAATGCAGGTCCGGCTGCTCCTCCCACGAGCCCAGAGGCACAAACTAAGGCTGTGTTCACGCTTGGGCTTGTGTTTCACGAGGATTTCAAAACAAAACAACCGGACAGCTTCTGTCGCCCCGGTACCAGCCTTTGGGGGCCCAAGAGAAACCGCACAGGGCTCCGACCTGCAGAGGAGCCCTGGTTCCCTGGGCCCTGGGGCCTAAGCCCCAGCAGAAGGTGCAGCGTGGTCCCTGAGGGTCCTCAGAGTCGAGGCACGCGAGCCAGCAGCCCCGGGTAGTAGGCATTGGGAAGGCGCAGGGTCCTTCCCACATCTGTTCACACATGCAGCACATCCCAGTCCACGTGAGGCTCTCAGCCCCTTCCTGGCTCCCAAAGGCCCCAGCCCTGTGGCTCTAGTGGACACAGACAGCTCTGTCTCGTCCCCGCAGTGCCCACAGTGCTCCCTCCCTCGGCAGGTTTTGAAGGCGACCCCCAGGCCGTGCTGCAGACCATCAGGAGGTACGTCCGCACCTTCTTTGGGTGCAAGGAATGCGGGGAGCATTTTGAGCAGATGGCCAAAGAGTCCATGGGTTCTGTGAAGACCTTGGACCAAGCAATTCTCTGGCTGTGGGAGAAGCACAACCTTGTCAACAGCCGCCTGGCAGGTGAGCAGAATCTGTGCTGTCCGGCCTGCGCCTCAATGCAGGGCTGGCGCCTGTCCGGGTGAGGCCCGTGGCGGCAGGGATGGCAGTGCCACGAGGGCATCAACGGCCCTGGCCTTCGTGCCCTGCTGCCTGCCCCCTGGCCCCGTGCCAGCTCCGTGATGGCTTGTTGTGGGAGCTGTCAAAAGCTGCAGTCAGTCCCAGGGCTCCGGTGTCCCTGTTTCCAGGCAGCTCACTCCCTGGGGCTCTGGGCCACATGGGGACCCCGGGAAGGTTGGTGGTGGGAGGGCTGGGTTATCATTAATTTTCAGGAAGGAGTTTTAGCGTCATTAAAATCTGAGCTCAGATGATCGACCGAGCCCCTGAACGTGGCTTTGTTTAAAAAACTAAATGGGGGCCCATGTATTTTCTCTGACTTAAGTAATTCAAACTGTTTTAAATCAGTGGCGGATTAAAATTAGGCTTAAAAATAATTCCACTGAGAAATAAGTCTTAATAGAGATGAACAGAAAATGTCACTAAACTGCTGGTTTTCAGTTAATCCGCTGTGTTGTAAACACACATTACAACCGAAGCACTAAAGAAAATTGGTTTTTCTCTCCGCTCCAAGCTGCCTGCTGCAGCCCCACTCACGTGGCCACAGCCTGTCCTGCGTCTGCTGGGTCTGCCCATCGCCAGCAGTGCAGGTTAAAGCGCTTCCCTCAGGGCCCCGGTACAGACACCCACGGGGCCCCTTGTCCACCTCTGGGTGTCAGGCCTCTCCCTGCATCTGGCCACCCCGCCACCCACACTCCCCGCAGTTGGCCTGCAGCACGAAGCTCTGGAGCGAGCGGACAAGCTCCCACCGGACCCGCAGAGCAGGCTTCACAGACCCTTATCAAAGGGGTTCCCGGGAGGGGGCCCACAGGAGCCCCTGTGCTTGCAGTGCTGTGGAGACTCCAGGGTACCGAGGGTCCCGGTTATTGTGTGTGGCAGGCAGAGGTGAGGCACCCAGGGCTGGCAGCCTCAAGGTCAAAGGCTCAGAAGTGAGGACTGGGCAGGGACCTTTGGGAAGCATGTAGCTGGGAGGCTGGGAACAGACTCTGGCCAGGTGAGTGGCACTGCTCTGTGGCCACCAGGCCCCTGGAGGGTGTGAGGGAGGGAGCAGTGCCGACAGAGGGCGCTCTGGGGACACAGGCTGCGGCCTGTGCGGGAGAGGTGGGGCTGAGGGGAGCAGGCGACCCCGTGGGGGAACTTGCTCTCGGGGAGCCTCTCCACTGTCCCGTCCCCCCCACTCCCAGGCCACCTGAGCGAGGACCCCAGGTTCCCGAAGGTCCCATGGCCCACTCCGGACCTCTGCCCAGCCTGCCACGAGGAGTCGCGGGGCCTGGACCGCTGGGACGAGGGCCAGGTGCTCCTTTTCCTGAAGCGGCACTACGGCAGCAGCAACCTTGTCCACACACACGCCGCAGCCCTGGGTGGCGAGGGCGCGGCTGAGGGGCAGGGGCTCGGCCATGGGGACCCCAGGGCCCAGAGCCTGCACGCCCCCCACGTGCTGCCCCCCTCGCCTGGCCTGTCGGAGCGGGCACGCCTGGGAGTGGCCGGGGCTGCAGGCCGCCGGGAAGTGGAGGCGGCTGCGCCCTTCCTGGGGATGGGCTTCTCCAGCCTGGACATGAGCCTCTGCGTCCTGCTGTACGTGGCCTCCTCCCTGTTCCTGATGCTCATGTTCTTCTTCTTCCGTGTGCGGGTCAGACGCTGGAAGGTCCGGCACCACCACCCAGCGGTATAGCTGCACAGGGCTGGGGGCACTCGTGGACACAGCCCCCATGCCTGCAGCGGTGACGTTTCTGATCAGGGATGTAGACACATGGTGGACCTGCTCATGGCCCAAGACAGCCCTGCACTGGAGCCGGGTGGGGGTGTCTGCACTCCTGGCCTGCTCAGCCGACGCCTGGGACAGAAGATGGCAAAACGATGTCTGTGTTTTCCCCCTTCTAGGCCTAGACGTGGGTGGGGTGTCCCTTGTGTGGCGCCTCCTCTCACCTCAAGTTTGCAAGACTCCACATCTGTCTGCCCTGCAAGGCCTTGTTCTGGGACTTGGAGAAAACCCCACCCTCCCCCCACAGGGAGTCAAAAGGCGACCAGAGGCAGTCGCAGGGCTGCAGGAAGAGCCCCCTGCCTGGCGGCAGAGCTGTGCTTGGAAGGAGGGGTGGTTCCCTGGCTACCTCCTCAGGGACAGTGCCTTTGCCCTTCTCTGTGTTACTCTGGTGAGGAGAGAGAACTCACTGAGTGAAGGCCACCCCAGCCTGGCCGTCGTCCCTGGGCAGTTCCCGCCACCGCCCCTGATGGTCCGGCCCTGCAGTTCACCGGAAGACCTGAGCCGGAGGATCAGGGCAACCTGGAGCACACTGGTGCCCCCAGGCTAAACTGTGTTTGCCTGAAGCAGTTTTCACCAAAGGGTCGGCGCAGGGCCTGTCCCGGGCTTGGTGGCTAATTGCTTACCATTTACTAACTTTAGGACATTATTTGTAAAACCCAAAACATTCGGAGGTAACAAGACAAATTCTGCTGGGGGCGTTGCCTGGGAGACCCTGTGCGGAAGCTCAGCGGTATCTGCGAGTGCGTGCGCATGCGCGTCACTTTCTCCGCTCCTGTTCGGCTCCTGTGCTCTTCACACGGGACAGCGAGGCTGTGTTTGTGAGATGGCCATCATGCCGATGTCACTGCTGCAGCCTGGGGATCTGACATCTCCAGCATGCATTAGCTTGGTGTCCCCCCTGGGGGGGGCGGGGCCTGCCACCTGAGCCTGCCCATCACTCCTGTTTTAAAGCCCCTGGGCTTGTCCTTGTGGTTTGTCGTGTGCCTGGGTTGTTGACTCCGTGGTGTTCCTTTTCCACTTGAAGCCCCGCAGGTTTGCGTGAGTTGGAGGGAAATACTTAGAACCATTCATTCAGCTGTCCTTGGTTCATGTCCAATGTCTCCCTTCCCAAAGTTTTTCCAGGCCGTGTGCCCTGTCCTAGGTCGCAGCCGGGCGGACAGGCAGTGTCAGCTTGCAGACATTAAAGGTCATCATAGTGCTGCAGGTGGAGGTCTTCGCTCTGAGGGACACGCGCACAACACGCGGAGGGTCCTGGTTTTCAGCAGACGGTTCGTAGGGAGGCCCTGTGCCAAGGCGGCCGTGGCCGCGCGTCTCACGTGCAAGTGTGCGCGATCTTGCACGCCTCGTGTGGCCCGCTCAGCGCCGGATGCTGTGCTTAGGAGAGTCTCCTTTAGGTTTATTTTCTAAAGTTGTAAATATTGAGACAATGAATATAAGTTCGGAAACTTAAATGTATTTATTTTTAATGGAAGAATTTTGATTAAAAAGCCAATTGGTGTGGAATGTCACTGAAATTTCTTACTTGCAAGGGAAGCGAACATTTTGTATTTAAGTAAACAAATGTGCACATTTTGAAATAAATCTGACGTTTGAAATAGCTGTAGTTCTTTTGCGACGTGAACCAGCAGAGACAGTGAGGGTGGCAAGCCCCACACACCTGAAGCTCCTACTGAGGTAGAGACTTACGGGAGATGGCCCCAGGGTCTGGGGGAGAGTGATCTCACACCCAGCAGTGACCTCGGGTGGGGAAATGCACAGGGGCACCCTGCTCCAGGGAACCCCTCAGGCCCCGAAGTCCTAGCCGCTGACCACTCAGGCCGGACGTCAGCTTGTACTGGACATGGCCTTCCCGGCACCGCCGCCACAGAGCCCAAACTCCCCAGGAGGTAGGTCTTGGTAGTCCTGTGTGTGGCTGTGGATTCTGTGGGTTCCTGTCCCCAGCTGACTGTGTGGGGACTGGGAGGTAAGCCCCTCCCCCGGAGGCAATGGGTGGAGATGCTGGCCACCAGCGTGGGTCCGAGTGATGCTGGTGTGGGCATAGGCGCACCCTCAGTGGCCCTCGTTCAGGCCCAGGGTTCATAGAGATCTCTGCCCCTGAGTCTTGAGTAGATTCTGTCTGGGGGCACCCCAGGTGCCCTCCCCCACAACACACTGCCCTGGGGGAGTGGAGGTGGGGCAGTGGCCTGAGATACAAGCAAAGTTGAGAGTTCAGGAGGTTGTAAATGCAGAAAGTTCCTCAGGCTAGTAGCAACAGTTGGCCACCTCTGAGCCAGACCTGGAGCCGGAGCCTGGCGGGGGCCTGGGCTGGAGGCGGAAGGAGCTGGAGGGGCTGTCCCCACCTGCGGCCTGGTAGGCCGCCTTCCAGAAGGCTGCGCAGGATCAGCGGGGTGGAGCACCCGCTTACAGCGAATCCCCTGCCTGGTGGCGGGGAAGGCGGGCGGAGAAACAGGGGACCGGGGGGGAGGTGGGCGGGGGGAAAGGCGGGGAGGCGGGCCAGGGCACGGCTGGTGGCGGGGTGGTGGGGGACTGGCGGAGAGACGGGGAGCTGGAGAGATACGAAGCGGACGGCCACGGGAGAGCCTCCTTCAGCACCGCGGACAGCGCCCATACCCCGCAGTTCCCGGGCTGGCCTGCGCCAGAAGGGCCCTGGGCGGCTCTGAAGTGGACGCTGGCCTCGGGCTGCCCCGCACCCGCGGGGGGATCGTGCAGGAGGAGGGCGGAGTGTGGCCCTGCCTAGCCAGGTGGCAGAGATGCTGCTGGACACGGAGCAGGACCAAGAGAGGCCCGGTGCCCCCTCTGCCGCCGCCGTCTGCACCTTCGGCGGGACTCGGGGTAAGAGCCCTGGCCTCTAGCCCGGAACACGAAGGCCCTGAGGGCAGAAACCATAAGAGAAGAAGAGGCAGGCTGAGGGACACCTGGGATTAAGGGACACGACAGGCACGGAGAGCAGAGAGAGAAGGGAGGTCTGAGAAACCAGACCTCCGAAGGCCAGGGGGGACGGGACAGGGGCGAGGCAGGCCAGGGTGATGGGCCTGGAACTTCCAGCCACGGTCCGTGGGTGTTTTGTGGGCCCAGACCCGAGGGCCCCAGAACAGCAAGGCCTCACAGGCACTGCTGGACCAAGGAGCGGTGCATACCAGAGGCACCAAGTCCCTCCAGAGACCCACGCCCCTGGGCTCCCACAGAGCCCAGCCTGGACCTCCCTCCCCAAGAGCCATTCACTGGCCACGGACGTTGGGGAATCACGGAGGCACTGTTGGCGGGCCAGGCAGATGCGGAGCTCCAGTGCCTGGGGCTGCCGCCCCACCCTGCACCCACCCGGAGCCCTCCCCAGTCGGTCCACACACGGCCTCTCTTGGGCAGGCCTCTGCAGCAGCTGACACACAGCAGCCGGCACACACTGGGCTCCAGGGCTCCATCACCCAAGTCATGTCCCCTGGGTGACCGGTGTCCTGCGAAGTGACGGGGAAGTGAAGGGCTGCGTGCTGGCCGCAGGGGCCTCCGATCAAAACTGAGAAATCCCAGACCTGCTGCCTGGAAACCAGGAGCAATGGGGGGAAGTCCCCCAGGTGGAGGCACCTGGAGGAAGACTTCGACCTGCCTATCCCCTCACCCTTTCTGGGGCCCCGCCCTCTCCGTGCCCCACACTGCAAGGAGGCCGCACTGCTGTGTCCTGGCGACGGCCTGTGAGCAAGAAAAGCTGCCCCGGGGTGGCTGCTGGCTCTCCATGCCAGACTGGTGAACTTCTGCAGGCTCACCTGTCCGGACTGGGACGGGATGTTGGAGAACCAGGGGCAGGAGCTAGCTTCTGTGCAAACCGGGGTGCTGAGGGTGGAGGAAAGTGAGGGCGAGTCCTGGGCTTTCCCAGCTCTGCCCAGGACCTGGTGCCTTGGCTACGGGTCCAGGCCGAGGACACCACCCTGCCTCCCTGTGTCCACCCGGCCGGAAGGTCCAGCAGGAAGGCCCAGACGCTGTTTAGAGCCAGGTGGTCTGTCTGAGGTCGACTCTGGCTCCTCCAGCCCTCGGGCGCCACACTCACCCTCTCTGGGTCTCCGTGGCTTTCGTGCGAACCAGGCGTCGTCACCAAGCCTTCCAGGTCCAACTCTTGAGTCTGAGCCTCAGCGGCTGTAGGACCCGGCTCCCTCCCTGAGCCTCCTCCCGGGACCCCCAGCCTGCGCGCGCACCCTCATCGGAGTCCAGGCCGAAGGCCGCGGCGCAGGGGCACGAAGCTGTGCGGCCCGGGCTAGCGCCCACGGGCAGCCCTAACTCGGCTCCTCCTCTGACCTTCCCAGCCCTCCGGCCGGCACTCGGAGTGGCGTCTGGGCACCACGGGTCCCCGCGCGAAGGCGCGCAGAGCTGGTGGACGCGGGGGGCGGCGAGGCTCAGCGACCCCCCCCCAGCCCCGCCCCGCGCACGGCCCCGCCCCCGGCCGCTCCGCCCTCAGCGCGGGCTGAGGCTCCGGGCCCCTGGGCGGCCCGCGGGCGCAGCGCCCAGCAGCGCTGGGAGTCGCTCGGACGCCGACGGGGTCCACTGAGGCCGTAGCCTCACTGGTCCCCGAAAAAGTTCGGGGCCGGATTTCGGTGGCGCCGGTAGGCCGGACCCATGGAGGCGCGCGGGGAGCTGGGCCCGGGCCGGGACTCGGCAAGCGGCGACCTGCTGCTGGCGCTGCTGGCGCGGAGGGAGGACTTGCGCCGAGGTGGGTGCCCGGCCGAGCGGCCACACCAGGGACGGTGGAGACCCAGAGGTTTTCGCTCCTTTCCGGGCCCGAGCGCAGGGCCTTCGGCACCAGGGCGGGAGTGTTTTCGAGGGCCCCGCTCGTCCCCGCCTGGACGCCCCAGCAGCAAGGCTGAGTCGGAGCCTGGAGCTCGTTGTCGAGTGCGCGGTCACGGCGGTGGCAGTTCCCGCCGGGAGCCCTCCGATTCCGGGAGGGGCTGTGGAAAACCTCTATCAGGGAGAGGTGTGCAGACAGAGCTCATGGGGGCCCTGTGACCACAGGGGAGAAGGGTCCCCAGGAGGACGGCCCCCATCTAGACCCTCCACGCAGTGCTGGGGAGACAGTCAGGCGCGGGGGGCCAGGGTGGAGCTGGCCCGCGTGTGTAGGTCGCCCCTAGTTGGAGTCTGGGCATCTGCACTCCAGGCACCTGCTGTGGGCCCTCCCGGGGCTGGTCCTCTGGACCCTTCCTTCCACAGCCAAGACCCCAACTTCCCCGTGGCACCAGTCTCGCCCCCAGCGCTTTGGCTCCCAGATAATCGGGACCATCTCAGAGGGCTTCTGGGCTGGCGGAACCAGCGGGATGGAGCCGGAGGCAGCCTGGTGCCGAGGGGACCGGCGGGACGGGGCAGGTGGGAAAGGAGTTACAACCGGGCTGTGGGCTCTCGTCCTTCCCTACTTATTTATTTTATTTTCCAACGGTTCTTGGGAGGGGTTGGCCGCAGGGGCTGTGAGGAAGAGGTGGGAGGGCGGAGGGGGAGGGAGGGAGGGAAGGCTGGATCGCAGGCGTCGGCTCAGGAGCGCCGGCCTGAAGCGGGCCGGGAGGTCCGCGACTCTGCTGGACCCCGCCAACCCCGAGGGTAGGAGCTCCGCCGGGGCTGAAGTCAACATGCAGCGTAAGGCCCGGGTCGCCAGGGTTCTGCGGGGCACTCCAGCAAGGGGTACTGCGGGAGCGGCTTTTGCCTGACGCGGGGCTGAGAGGACAGCGCGGCTGGGCGCTGTCCGGGCCGCGGTGCTGAATCGCACTGCGAGGGCCTGTCCGGCCATGGGCGCTATGCCCGGCGTCCTCGCCGCGCTGCCATCGCCCCCACAGTGAGGGCCGGGGGCGCCCAGCAGACCCCCAGGCTCTGCTCTTGGGGCCGAAGTTTTGCCCGACGCGGGACCGCGTCCTTTGCGGGTTTCCCGCTGCTGCAGGAGAGAGGTCCCTCACCTGTCCCCCCACCTGCTGCCCCCCAGCCTGGAGCCAGAGGGGTGGGCGGGGGGGCAGCAGCCAGGTGAGCGTGTGGAGACCGGTGCGACGTTTGTGTAGGTTCCAGCTGCTGTGCGTGGCTCTCTCCTCTCCGGGAGATTCTCCCTCTCTGGGAGAATTAACAGGGAGTCCTCACCCCGTGAGCACCCTGAAAAGCCCCCCATGGACGCCCAGGGGTCCTGCAGGCCACCCCTGAATCTCACCAGCCGACTTCCCCAGAGGCCTGCAGTCCCAGGGGAGCGGCACTTGAGAGCACCCACCGTCGGAGTAAGGTGGCTGAGCTCGGCGCCCGTGCTCGAGTGTGAGGACAGCGGGCCCATTTGTCCAGCCCTCTCACGCGGGCCCTGTGGCAGCCCGGAGACGGGGAGGGCATTGGTTTTTACCTGGCCAGCCCTCCAACGGGGTGGTGGAGGTGGACGGCACAAGGAGTCTCTTTCTTGCCACCGGGATGCTTAATTGTGCAAAGTAGTGAGGGCAACGAGGGGGCCGGGGCCCAGGACACACGCGAGCCTGGGCTGCAGGTGCAGGTGACAACCCTTCTCCCCGCCCCGTCCGAAGACAGCTCCTGGGTGAGGTTTGCATCGGAGCTCCGTGTGCGCCCTTCCTCCACACGGGGACCCCGGGGAAATGAAACG